TGCAGACTCCGTTCCCTTCACGAACACCGCAGCTCCAACTGCAGGTCACCGTCGACTCAACGAAACCGCCAGATGTTGACCCTTCGATGTTGACCCACTGTCGACTCGATCCAATCGTCCTGCGTGTCCTTTCCTGCCACCATACACCAACGCGTAATGCGCTCCATCTCTTGCGACGGGATCCTACAAAAATTAGGTCCGTGCGCGACGGGGCTCCATGAAGATGCCAGGAAGGTTTTGGAAGAGGATGTCGCTGGTCCTGGCGGCCCACGTGAGCTGACTGATCTGTGACAAGAAGACATGGCCAGAGAATCATCGAACTGATACGATTTGAACATCTGTGACCTAGATTCTTCCGGTGGAAAAACATACCGAAACCCCAAAAATCGCCAGTCTGACTCTCTTTACCCCCAAAAAAAGCGACCCTAAAATGTTGCTTTCTTTGGCGGTCCTGAGGCGTCCAGCTTGCATCACATCGATCAAAAAAATCGCTTCCGGCCAAGCGCTTTGGGAGCCACAGGAATGCACCGCACAGCAGTAGGTCGACTCCTGGAGGCTCCAGAAGCCATATGGAATGGCTGGAAAATTTTATTGGGGGATCTATTGAGTGACCCACCCCCAAGGTTAGAAAAAGTGGGAAAGTGGGATGTAGTTGCTACCTTTCGTTTCAAATTTCAGAATCCAGTTGCCATCCACTGGTGGAACAAACCCGCCTCCACCAAGAGTGTTCTGCTCTCGTGTTCCTAGGCTCGGATCGATGGGGTTGGGAACTTGCAATCCAATCCTCCCCATGTCAAACCCATTAGAAGTCCGATTCTGGAAAATGGGTCAGTTGGTTAACCCATGAAAATACTATGCTTGGCCGCACTAGACTACACAAATCAATACAATTCATCTACAAACCAGCCATGGATTTTGAGCTGCATGAACCGGAAGATGTGGCTGGTGGTTTCAAACATGTTTTATTCCGAATTAACCTAAGAGTACTAATCAACCCATACATTTGGTTTGCCCATATTATTGCTGCAGTGACCCACACGTTTCGTGTCCAAATAACGGTTTCCACTTTGGAGCCGACAATCAAACGTGCTGTATCAACTTTCAACCCGTCTTGGCGCAGTTGTATCAACTCAACCCATATTATTGCCATTTTATAGCGTGTTAGTTTTCTGGTTGTTGTTTTCCGTTCCCAAAAATAATGCCAATTAATTAGAGGCCCATCCGGGTAGGCCAATTTCCTAGGCCCATCCACGCAGGGAAACAAAACGCAAAAACGATCAAAAACAACGTTTTTTCAAAACACAGCTGGAAGATACCAACTGCAAAGTGTCCATCAAAAGTTGCAGAGTCCAACTCCAAATGCTGCACTTATTGCAGCTGCTGGCGCCGCTGCTGCAGGCAATGGCGCTGAAGTCCCTGGGTGCAACAAGAAACTCGGGATGGATACGTTGCATCATATGAGATTGCATCATATGACGTGCATGACATGACGTGACATGACATTGCATTGCATTACATTGCGTTGCGCAACAATACATTGCATTCCGCTCAATAGATTTATATATATATACATATACATGCATGTATATATATATATATATGAGTGTGTGTGTGTGCGTGTGTGTGTGTGTTTATGTGTATATATACTAGACGACGGATGGCCCGAGAGCGTAGAGGAGCAGGGTCTTCTCTTGTTAGTATGGAGACACCATATTACAAGCAATATATTAAAGATGTGCTATAGGCAGTCGAGAAGAGGAGTATCAAGACAACATAGCACAAGTACAAGACAATAGTTTGCATTGCAAACACTTTTACACAAAGAAGCTTTTACACTAGCAAGCTTTTACACAGAGAACCCCTTACACAGAGAAGCTTTTACACACAGAAGTTTTTACACACAGACACTTTTACACACAGACGCTTTTACACACAAGGCACTTTTACACACAGACACTTTTACACACAGGCGCTTTTACATACAGGCAGTTTTACACACAGACGCTTTTACACACAGTTGCTTTTACACAGACGCTTTTACACACAAAGTTTTTACCCACAGAAGCTTTTACAGACAGAAGTTTTTACACACAGACACTTTTACACACAAGCGCTTTTACATACAGGCAGTTTTACACACAGGCGCTTTTACACACAGAAGCTTTTACACCCAGACCCTTTTACACACAGGAGCTTTTACACACAGAAGCGTTTACACGCAGACGCTTTTACACACAGAAGCTTTTACACACAAACGCTTTTACACACAGACGCTCTTACACACAGACACTTTTACACAGAGCACACAGAAGCTTTTAAGCAGACGCTTTTACACAGACGCTTTTACACAGATGCTTTTACACACAGAAGCTTTGACACACAGCACACAGAAGCTTTGTACACACAGAAATTTTACCTCAGTTTTTGGCGATCGACCGTCATTTCGTGCGAAAGGGTTGCAACGGGAACCCGGAAATCGCAATTTTACCTCAGTTTTTGACGATCGAACCATGTTTCGTGCGAAAGGGTTGCGCCGGACAAGTTGAAATCGCAATTTTGCTTCAGTTTTTGACGATCGAACCTCGTTTCGTGCGAAAGGGTTGCGCCGGACAAGTTGAAATCGCAATTTTGCTTCAGTTTTTGACGATCGAACCTCGTTTCGTGCGTAAGGGTTGCGCGGGACACCTTCAAATCGCAATTTTACTTCAGTTTTTGGCGATCGAACCTCGGTTCGTGCGAAAGGGTTGCGCCGGACAAGTTGAAATCGCAATTTTACTTCAGTTTTTGGCGATCGAACCTCATTTCGTGCGAAAGGGTTGCGCCGGACACCCTCAAATCGCAATTTTACGTCAGTTTTTGGCGATCGAACCTCATTTCGTTCGAAAAGGTTGCGTTTCGTGCCGTCTCGTTGGCACTGCCCCTGCCCCCGCCTTCAGAAGAGAAATAGAAAAGAAGGAGAGGGCAAGAGGGGCCAGAGGGGCAAGAGGGCAAGAGGGCAAGAGGGCAAGAAGAGAAGATGTGAAGATGTGAGGATGAGAAGATGTGAAGAAGAGGGCAAGAGGCCAAGAGGGCAAGAGGAGAAGATGTGAAGATGTGAGGATGTGAAGATGTGAAGATGTGAGGATGAGAAGATGTGAAGATGAGCAGATGTGAAGATGTGAAGATGAGCAGATGTGAAGATGAGCAGATGTGAAGATGAGCAGATGTGAAGATGAGAAGATGAGAAGATGTGAAGATGAGAAGATGTGAAGATGAGAAGATGTGAAGATGAGAAGATGTGAAGTGAGAAGATGTGAAGATGAGAAGATGTGAAGATGAGAAGATGTGAAGATGAGAAGATGAGAGACAGACCCCCACTATTGGAAGAACCCTGCGCTCAGACGCTCTAGGGAATAAATATACATTAGATAGATAGATAGATAGATAGATAGATTAATTAGATTAGATAGATTAGATTAGATTAGATTAGATTAGATTAGATTAGATTAGATTAGATGAGATTAAATTAGATTAGATTAGATGAGATTAAATTAGATTAGATTAGATGAGATTAAATTAGATTAGATTAGCTTAGATAGATAGATAGGATAGATAGGATAGATAGGATAGGATAGGATAGGATAGGATAGATAGGATAGATAGGATAGATAGGATAGATAGGATAGATAGGATAGGATAGGATTGGATAGGATTGGATTGGATTGGATTGGATCGGATTGGATTGGATTAGGATAGATAGATCTGCATGTGCGTTCCAAATAATGGTTGCTATATCCCATCATTTATCCATATTGCCGCATGGTTATCATAGCATCCCAGCATCAGCGCATGCTGCGGCAGCTGCTGCAACGAGCCCAGCGCCTGGCGCCATAATCTCCGCCGGTCCTGGGTTTGGCCAGGAAGGCGTGGGAAACCGAAGTGGATGTTGCCATGATTTTAGGTGATTTCTCCCAAAAAAAAACGAGACTGTTAGGATTTTCCACGATTCCCGTTGATGTTTGACCAGCTTTTTTAATCAGCATATCCCCTTCTTGGATGGATATACTGATATATGATATACCCCAGTACTTGCTCCTTGCAACCAAGGGAACCCCCGGTTCCATGCCTCCAAAGACGCCGAGCTTCAAACGCTTTGGTCAAACAAGCGAGCGAAATCACGTCCCTGCGCACCTTGGATCGGCTCATCTTGGAAACCCTACCGAAACCCTACCAAAGAAGGATCTGGGTATGATATACCCCCATCACAAAAACAATCCACCAGCTCTCCTGCCCATATGTTGACGACAGAAATGGCATGCGTTCTTCGCACCAAACAAAAGTTCACCCAAATAATCCCAAACACATGGGTGGCTCATGTTGGTTGGCTCAGAGACCTTCACAAACACTCAGAAAAATGCAGAATGCCTCAAACATCCCTGGCAGTCGCCTGCGCACGCGGCATGTCTCGCAACAGCTTCTGCGCCAGCACATCTTGACCCGCGGCCGCAAGGGCGGACAATGCCGTGTTGGTCAGCCTCGGTAGCATCGAAATGCTGCATGAGAAAATGGTTGGTGTAGAAGGGACAAAGCGACTCAAACCCCAAGATTCAAAAGTTTTTTGAAGGGTTAAACGCTGCAGTCCACACGATCAACAATGCCACTTAATTTCGGTTGACATGCATGTGGAACACATGAGACAGGAGCCCCCAAGTTCGTAAGCCATCTTCACACCCACTGATCACTTCCAAATGATTGGGTTCCAGTCACCCCAGCTGTGCCGGGCGGCGGTGGGCTGTCGCCTGTGGATGCAGGAGCCGTATGCATGCCTCTCTCCAGTGCAGCGTGAAGCAACACCATGCTGCGCCTGAGCGGGATGGGTTGCAAGGTAGGGGTTGGTCAGTCAGGGTTTATTCAGGGTTGATGTTGGCTAAGGTGCGACCTACTGGCACAAACGCCCATACCCACTTCAAGTCGAAAAGAAGCGAATGGAATGTCACGAAGTGTTGTCTTGAAGTTGCCGCACATACAATTGGTGGTTTCACTGTTCACATCATGTTCCCATTCACAGCCAGTTTCTGCAAAGCTGCCTCCATTGAACCATGCGGCCCATGCCAGTCATCACATTCGAAAAAACGTGGGCATCGCAGCGCACGCTGCACTGGGAAATCTCTTGACAGAGCTGAAAAGCATCGTTCCAGTGGTGGCAGGTGGAACAACCTCGGAACCAAGGCCTGGGAAAAGCATGGTGGTTAGATGAAAACACCAAGTTCAGCAAATGAGTGGTACAGTTACACGTGTTCTTGCACATCAATATATATATACATAAATATATATATACATATCAATTTATAAGAATAATAATAATGATAGTAATACCAATAATATCAGTAATAATAATAATAACAATAATAACAATAATAATAACAATAGTAAAAATAATAATAGTAATAATAATGCTACCTATGTATTTACATTATATATTGTATAAATCAAAAAACATATCTAATATTAAATACCAGTAGTACCGCACAAGGCGGTGGCGGAAGTTTCAAAAAATAGGAAACCTATAGGAGAGGTTGGTTGTTGTGAATCAGGGATGGCAGAGCAAAGCCACTGATGGACCGAAAGGTGCTTGAGGTCTCCTCTCTTTCTGTCCCTTTCTCTGACTATCTACCTACCTACCTACCTACCAACCTACCTATCTATCAGTCTATCTATGTATCTATCGAAATATCTCTCTCTCTCATCTAATTACATATCTATCTATCTATCTATCTATCCATCTATCTCTCTCTCTCTCTCTCTCTTTCATCTGTCTATCTGTCTAGCTCTCTACCTGTCTATCTGTCTATCTATCTATCTGTCTATCTGTCTACCTGTCTATCTGTGGTGCAGTGTCATTCAGTGTAATGTAGTGTAGTGGAATGTAGTGTAGTGTAGTGTAATTTAGTGTAGTGGAGTGTAGTGGAGTGTACTGGAGTGTAGTGGAGTGTAATTGAGTGTAATTGAGTGCAGTGTAGTGTAGTGGAGTGTGGTGTAGTGGAATGTAGTGAAGGTGTAGTTGTAGTTGTACTTGTTGTGTAGTGTAGTGTGTTGGGGTATAGTGTGATGTAGTGGTGGTTGTAGTTGAAAATGCTACAAAACCCTCACGTTTTGCTCACTTTTGACAAGGTGCACAATCCCGTGCGCCTGCCACGCGAAACGAGATCTGAACGTCCAAAAGTGGTCCGAACCCCTAGTTCCTTTAACATTTTGACTTGGAAATGTGCTTCGCGCCACAGCGGCGTGCACTTTTGCGACATCTCAACTTCCAAAAGTGGTCCGAAGCTGGTGTGCTTTGTACATTTTCACTTCGAAACGTGCTTCGCGCCACAACGGCGTGCACTTTTTCGACATCTCAACTTCCAAAAGTGGTCCGGGGCTGGTATGTCTTGTACATTTTGACTTGGAAATGTGCTTCGCGCCACAAGGGTGTGCACTTTTTCGACATCTCAACTTCCAAAAGTGCTCCGAACCTGGTGTGCTTTGTACATTTTGACTTGGAAATGTGCTTCGCGCCACAATGGCGTGCACTTTTTCGACATCTCAACTTCCAAAAGTGCTCCGCACCTGGTGTGCTTTGTACATTTTGACTTCGAAATGTGCTTCGCGCCACAACGGCGTGCAATTTTTCATCTCTCATCTGGCCAGCTGGCTCCGCACCCGCCGCTTTAGCGAGCCTACTTTTCGACCCTCCGGAGCCTCAAATCATTGGAAAAACACAGTGTTTCGCGACGTTCCTACCTTTTCGCGCATCTGCATCTTCTTTCTTCTGACTCTTTCTCTTCTACTCTTCTCTCTTCTAATCTTTCTCTTCTCTCTGCCTCTGCCCTGCTCTGCTTTTCATCTGTGCATATAGTCGGAAGTTTGACTTCTAAACTTCCTTCGATTATATATATACATATATATATATATAATATTGTATATGTAGTAAAAATAACAAAAAATTATGTGCATATATATATATATAAATATATATAAATATAATGCATGCATGGTGTATTACATAACAAGTTTGTTTTCCCATTCTTCCAACCCCAGCATGGCTAGATCATAGCTCATGTTCCAACTATTTGTCTACCATAACTCCAGGTTTTCAACCAGAAATGGAAAATCTACCAGGTCCTCACCAGCTCCCCATGCCGCTGGACATCGGTCCCAAGAAACTCTGCACGGCATTGCCCAGGAAGACCACGTTGCAGCGCAGTGTCTCGACACGCATTTCCTGGGGGTGATGTATCAGCTGTATCAGCTCATACGCACATGTAGATATACTTTGAACATCTATAAATTGAGATTTGAATCGGAAATCATCTATAAATGCAGGTTTGACTGGGAAACTCAGATTTGAATGGGAAACTTATCAAACTGAATGTGGGGCTTTTCAGCAAACCATGATTACCAGAGGGTACATGTGTCTTATGTCTGTGTCCTGTAAGTTTCTTGTAAATTTACAAACAAAAAGAAATCGCAAAAACATTTAAAATATGTGATTGGGTTGGTGGAAGAACCGTAGGAGCTGATTGATTCATACATTTACCCTCTGGTAATTTTACATAGCTATTGAAAATAGCCTTTTTTTATAGTTGATTTACCCATTAAACATGGTGATTTTCCATGGCTAACTGTTAGTTTGCCAGAGGGCGGCGAAATTGTCAAATTCCCAGAGCCTGCACCATTCGTATCTGAAAATATATCTTTTTTGGGCAATCTACAGAATACACACCATTTTCCGGATATACATCTAACTATCTAACTAACTAACTAACTAACTAACTAACTAGCTAGCTAGCTAGCTAGCTAACTAACTAACCATCCATCCATCCATCCATCCATCCATCCATCCATCCATCCATCCATCCATCCATCTCTATATGTAGATAAATATGTACACTTTTCTATATATCATCTTATAAATGTGGTTTTAAGAAAATCATCAACACTCGGTTGATGATTCCCATGCTTCCCATTTCCAGCCCAACGCCTCCAGGAGAAGACCTGTCCAGCTCCAGGCGCGGCCGCGCAAACGTCGCAGCGCCAAGGCCAGGTTGTTGAGGGTGATGCCGCTGGGCCTGGCTGATTGGGAACAGAAATCTATGGAATCTTCCATGGGAATAGATTCAATGGGAATTACAGGATCCTAAAATGGAGGTACGTTAGTATCATTTAAGACCATATGAATTGTGGGGATATTGCCTGAAATTTAGGCCATAAGCCTTATGTATGGTAGGTACCTCCGGGTACCTCCAATTTAGGTTCCTTAAATTGCGATTAATATATGGAAATCATATGGGAATCATATGGTAGTGAAAAACTATGGGATATAGATAGGGATATACCCTTTGATGGCCATGGAAAAGTTCGATGAAAAAATCATGGAACTAAATTGGTGAATGGTGGATTTTCCAGCATGCCACATTTGATTGCCGGAGGCTATGTATATAAAGCGATCCATATTTGGAAAAAACTGGATGTGGCGTTATATGTATATATATATATAAATAAATAAATCTCTCTCTCTCATGATACATTCTAACTGCGTTTGTTTTAAATGTATCATTGGAAACAAGTGTTGATATACTTGATCCATTAGAGTCAGACAAGACGATACCATTTTTTATACGGATGAAACGGGGATCTACAGCAAACACTATATAAAATGTGGATGGATATGGGTTTGTCCCAAAAATGTGGCATTTACCTTCAAGTATATTCTATGATTTGAGGAACGTCTCGAACTTTGAGCCACAAGTCCCGATTTCTAGGAGCAAGAAGTGGTGATTTTCGTCTCCATGAATGAGGACACTGGGCATGGGCCTGAGGACATGTTCGGTTGCCAGGTTTGATTAGCAGAGGGATCCAGAGGGCATCACCGCATGACCCAGTTGGATCTTGCTCAACACCCAGATCGGCCAATCCTTCCTAGAAGTGGTTCTCTAAAAATTGTACAAGTGAATCCCAAAAAAAAAACTGCAAGGAACTTGCTGTGGGTATGGGGGTCAAGTCATACCCAAGCAAGGACCGCTACTCTCATCTGAATGATTAGTTCACCTGAAATTTTCACACCCAGAGGTTTGGTTTTAGAGAATTTACAGGAAACCTCTAGGAAACCCCAATAATTCATGGGGAAACCCATTGCTGGTTAAGATTTTCCCAAGCCCAATCCAGTTCTGGTCGTTGGGAAACCGCACCTGCTATCGCACTGGCGCATGGCATCGTACAAGGCGAACGCCGTGCTCCAACGGCCCCGCAGGGCCGCGGCGTGCATGGCGAAGCCTGGGCCCAACCCCGAGGGGTGACCGAAAAATCGTACGGGGTTAGTATACGGACCATTGTGGTTAATATACTGTTAATAATGGTTATATAATAATAGTTAATATTGATGGTTATTATATGCTTAATGGTGGTTAAGTTCATAATCTGGTTGGTGGTTGAGCCCTACCCCTTTAAAAATAAAAGGACCGGATAACCCCACAAGTCAACTTCTTCCAATAATGGGTCAGAAATGTTGTAGCGGGGACGGGGAAGGAAGGAAAGACAAAGGAGGAGGTGGAGGAAAGATGGTGTGTGACAAAGTTGCGTGTGAAAGATGATGTGTGTGAAAGATGGTGTGCAAAAGCTGGTGTGTGACAAAGCTGTGTGTGAAAGATGGTGTGACAAAGTTGTGTGTGAAAGATTGTGTGTGACAAAGTGGTGTGAAAGATGGTGTGTCAAAGATGGTGTGAAAGATGGTGTGTCAAAGATGGTGGGTGACAAAGTTGTGTGTGTGTGTGTGAAAGATGGTGTGTAAAAGATGGTGTGTCAAAGCGGGTGTGTGAAAGATGGTGTGAGAAGTGGAGCTGTGATGGGTTGTGATGTGAAAAGTGAGGTGTGATAAGTGAGGTGTGAGAAGTGGAGCTGTGATGAGTTGTGATGAAAAGTGGAGCTGCGCCCACACGCGCCGCAGCTCGACCAGGAGGCTCTGTGTACTGCGCCTGCCACACGAAAGGCAGCCGCGGCCCAGCGGCGCCCACGCGCGCCGCAGCTCGACCAGGAGGCTCTGTTTACTGCGCCTGCCACACGAAAGGCAGCCGCGACCCAGCGGCGCCTACGTGCGCCGCAGCTCGACCAGGAGGCTCTGTGTACTGCGCCTGCGACACGAAAGAGCCGCGGCCCAGCGGCGCCGACGCGCGCCGCAGCTCGACCAGGAGGCTCTGTGTACTGCGCCTGCCACACGAAAGGCAGCGAGATGGGAGATGTGGCAAGTCAGGTGTGAGAAGTGCATGGAGCTGTGATGAAGCCTGACACACAACGAAAGGCAGCCGCGGTCCAGCGGCGCCCACGCGCGCCGCAGCTCGACCAGGAGGCTCTGTGTACTGCGCCTGCCACGAAAGGCAGCCGCGGCCCAGCGGCGCCACGCCCACACACGCAGCAGCTCGACCAGGAGGCTCTGTGTACGCCGCCTGCCACACGACAACCACCGCGGCCCAGCGGCGCCCACGTGCGCCACAGCTCGACCAGGAGGCTCTGTGTACTGCGCCTGTCACACGAAAGGCAGCCGCGCCGCTGGGCCGCGCCCACGCGCGCCGCAGCTGTGTACTGCGCCTGCCACACGAAAGGCAGCCGCAGCCCAGCGGCGCCCACGCACGCCGCACCTAACCAGGAGGCTCTGTGTACTGCGCCTGCCACACGAAAGGCAGCCGCGGCCCAGCGTCGCCCACGCGCGCGGCAGCTCGACCAGGAGGCTCTGTGTACTGCGCCTGCCACACGAAAGGCAGCCGCGCCGCTGGGCCGCGCCCACGCGTGCGCAGCTCGACCAGGAGGCTCTGTGTACTGCGCCTGCCATGCGAAAGGCAGCCGCACTGCACCTGCCACGAGAAAGGCAATCTGCTGACCACGGAGCTGTGATGAGTTGTGCTGTGATAATATGATGAGTGAGGTGCGAGAAGTGGAGCTGTGACGAGTGGTGGTGTGATAAGTGATGTGAGAGGTGAGGATGTGATAAGTGAGGTGTGAGAAGTGAGGTGTGAGAAGTGGAGCTGTGAGGGGTGGTGATGTGATAAGTGAGGTGTGAGAAGTGGAGCTGTGATGAGTTGTGCTGTGAGAAGTGAGGTGATTGATGTTGATGAGCTGTGCTGTGATAAGTGAGGTGTGAGAAGTGGGGCTGTGATGAGTTGTGAAGGCGGCGCGGCGGACGGACGCGGCGGACGGACGGAGGAGGAGAAGTGGCGGGATCCAAGCGAAAAACAAGAACCCCACACAGTGATGTGGGGAAATATGAGTTCGTCAGTTGGGATGATGAAAATCCCAACATATGGAAAAATAAAAGCCATGTTCCAAACCATCAACCAGTATTGGAAAGGTCACTCCAAAAAATCACCCAGAATCTGCCAGTTTTGGTGGAAAAATCAACATTCGCATGCGGTTCACGAGTTTATCGGTGGGGTTCCAGTGGCTCTACCTGGCCCCAAGATACCTGGAAAATCGTCCCACTTCGTAACTGGTTGATAACCCCATTCAGATTATCTCATCTACTGGCTGATAAGCCCAGCTGCAGTGCTCCTCCTAATATCAACGGAAAATTTGAAACTTCCCATGAATATCTGCATGAAAAACCATATCCCCATGGTTCTCAGACCATTAGTTTTCCCATCTCTCTCGTTGGTTCATAGCATTTCCCGGCCTTTTCGCTATATGACCCCAGATATAGATAGCCTAACCCCAATATCATCACCAAACCCCACTTACCATTAAATTCCATTATATAAATTCCATTTCACCACATAAAACCCCATTTAATCACCATTAAAGTCACCGTAGCTGGGAGTCCACCAAGCAGCTGTGCGCCACTCCTGAAACCTGCACCTGTCGGTGGAAGGAGTCGTTCAGCAGCGCCAAGGCTCTCTGCAGATCCGCAGATCGCGCCAGGCCCGACATGGCCGCCTCCAACATGGTCTTCTGGGACACCGCGGCCTGAGATACCGAAAAATTGGAAAAAATCACCAGGCTTAAAATGGAAGTTGAAGCTGCAAAAATTACGATTTTCCCCGAATGCGTAGCAAGGGTTCCCGTTTCACTCTGGGGGTCTGGGGGTTGAGGGTGTGTTCGCTCGACGTTGCCGAACCGTTCGCAACTGTTCGCAACCGTCCGCAACCGTCCGCAACCGTTCGCAACCGTCCGTGTGAGGGCCATATGGCCGTGCCTATGGTAAGTTCTGCAGAAGGGGTCATTTTTGGAGGTTTCAAACGTCTCGTTGCTTCGTTTCGCGTGGCAGGCATGGCACTTCGTGACATTCAGACGTTTTTTGTAACGGGTCGAAAATCGTTTTGTGTGGCAGGCGCAATACTTTTGCAACGTTTTCAGAAGATGCGTTGCAGTTTTCGTGGCAGGCGCAGCACTTTGGACATGTCCATCGTCATTTGGCGTTGCAGGCGCAGCACTCAAGACGTGTCGCGTTGCGTGTTTTGTGCGAATCGCATTGGCAGGGCTGCCTCAAGTGGCGACGAGGTGCAGATTTCGTGGCAAACGTGGCATTTTCTGATATGTGCTGAAAATTGACGGAAGCCTCGCACGAAACATCGATTTTGCGGTAGCAAATTTAAAGGTTCCTGAGAAAAAAACTCGTAGGAAAACGTCGATTGGGAAGCTGCAAAACCTCTTTCCAACTGTGAAAATTGGCGGAAGTCTCGCATGAAATGCTCGTTTTGGTGCTCCCACCTGTCTCATTTCGAGTCTCTGGTTTTCTGGCGGCTTCGCCGTGTCTATGGGGGAAGCATGGGGAAGCTACAAAATCTCTCCTTTTCAAAGATTTTCAAGCAGGTTGTCATGTCGTTTTGCGTGGCAGGCGTGGCACTTTGTGACATTCCAACTTGTTTGATAACGTGTCGAAAATGTCAAAATTGGAGGCAGTCTCGCACGAAATGCTCGTTTTTCTGCGCCCACCTGTCTCGTCTATAGAGTCTCCGGTTTTCCTGTGGCCTCGCCGTGTCTATGGGGGAAGCTCCACACTGTACATTTTACACTCCACACTCTACACTTTAAACTTTACACCCCTCTCTCCACACTCCACACTCCACACTTTACACTCTACACTTCACACTCTACACTCTACACTCCACACTCCACAATCTACACTTTACACTCCACACTTTGCACTCTACACTTTACACTCCACACTCCACAATTTACACTTTAGACTCCTCACTCCACACTCCGCACTTTACACTCCACACTTTACCCTGTGCGCTTTACACTCCTCACTCGACACTTTTTACACTCCACACTCCACCCTTTACACTCCACACTCCACACTTTACACTCTACACTTTACACTCTACACTCCACACTTTACATTTTACACTCTACACTACACTTTACACTTTACACTCCTCACTCCACACTTTACACTCCACACTCTACACTTCACACTCTACACTCTACACTTTACACTCTACACTTTACACTCTACACTCTACACTCCACACTTTACATTTTGCCCTACACTTTACACTCTTCACTCCACACTCCACACTTCACACTCCACACTCCACACTTTACACTTTACACTCCTCACTCCACACTTCACACTCTACACTCCACACTCCACACTCTACACTCCACACTCCGCACTCCACACTCTACACTTTACACACTCCAGACTCGTCACTCCACACTTTACACTCCACACTCCTCACTTTACACTCCGCACTCCACACTCCACACTCTACACTTTCCACTCAACACTCCACACTCCGCACTCTAACACTCCACACTCCACTCCACACTTTACACTCCTCACTCCACGCTCCACACTTTACACTTTACACTCCTTACTCCACACTCCACACTCTACACTCTACACTTTACACTCTACACTCCACACTTTACATTTTACACTCCACACTTTACACTCTAACCTCCTCACTCCACACTTTACACTCCACACTCCACACTCTACACTTTACACTCCACACTCCACATTCCGCACTCTACACTTTCCACTCCACACTCCACACTCTACACTTTACACTCCACACTCCACACTCTACACTTTACACTCTACACTTTACACTTTCCACTCCACACCACACTCCACACTCTACACTTTACACACTCTACACTCTACACTCCCCACTCCACACTTCACACTCCACACTCTACACCTTACACACTCTACACCCCCCACTCCACACTTTACACTTCACACTCCTTACTTTACACTCCACACTCCACACTGCAGACTGGTAACAGGGGAATTTGTACAAGACTGTTCAAGTAAACTATTGCGGAAAAGTGTTCTGCGTGACTGCATATCCATGTGTTTCCACATCTGTACCATTAACATGCGTGTGAGCATTCGGGTTCGTGGGCTGCATCTTGTTGAAAAACTTAAGCAACAAGAATGTGGATTTCAACCAAAAAAGTTTTAAATTTCAACAAACCTGGAAAGTTAACCAACAGGAATTGGAATTCTAACAAGGCTTCAGATTTTACGAGCTAAAATTGCGTTGTATCCAAAGAAAATTAAGATTTAATCTGAGGAATCCTGGCATGTGCGGGGGGGCTGATGACTATCCAAGCATGTCGACGTAAAGACGCTGTTTCAAACCCAAAAAGGGACATACAAAGATCCGTTTGTAAAAGGACCAGGATCCTCCCATCAGACATATCTGGGGTGAATGAACTACCCATTAATGTGGACAACTGTACATGAGTTCGCTTCGAACGGATGTTTGCGAGGTGATTACGATAGGCCAATGATCCGATAGAGGCTGCAGATTTTTGTTTTCCTTGTTTTTGAGAGTTGACTCATAGGCCCAAAAATCAAGTGTGCCGGTGACCGACAAATCATTTACAAATAGGATAAATGGGCAAAGCTGAAGTGAAATAGCTACGGATCAAGTGACCTTGGTAAAGAGTGACACTACTCGATTCTGAATAAGTTTCCAAATCTTCAGAAACTCTTACAAATGGTGTCCCAAAAAATGGGGCGCCCTTCAAATCCCATGGATTTTTCATCGTCCACCTATGAAAGCCGACCCCTTGAGTGAGGTGCTGCATCCTGGCTGTCTTCCAGCAATTCCAGGACCTTCGTCCAAGTCCTGCGGAGCAACGGCCATCGAAAATCGTTCTATCAATAGGTGCTGTTTTTGTATAACAATAATACGCCACCCCCAATTCTACCAGCAATTGATATAAGTGGGTGGTAAGTGGTAATTATAAACCATCAAAATACGTGTGGTTTATTAGTGCTTTGCTGACATCAAATAGTCTAGAACTGAGAATTTCCAATGGCATATTACACTCCCAAAGTGTAAACATGGGGCAGCTACAAAAAACTACAGCCGTGTTTTTTTTGGATGGCGAATCCTCCTATTTGAAAGGGGAAATATAGTGGGCGGGCACATGTTTTGTCGATTGTCAACGGCATGGCGTTAAAATGTGCAAACCAGAAATATAATTCCCGCAAAGCGTTCCACAAGTAAAACAATAATCATTTTGGTCAGCCGACCTGAAGCATGTATAGGGAACCGAACCCCTTTCCACCCGAAAACTGCGGGTTGCCGCCAAAAAATGCAAGTCAAATTGGGTGGAATTTTCCAAATCCCATTACCCCAAGACGAATCGAAGACAAAGAAATCCCTCACCCCAGCTGTGTGATCACGCCTTCACTATTCGATGCTACTATGTGCCTTACACGCCAGCGAGTTGACGCATTTCTTTCATTTGCTCCCCCACCCCATGCCACCTAACTAACCGTCCTCCTGCCAACTTTGCGCGCGCGAAAAATAGCCTTACCCTCACCGCTTCCCTGTGAATTTGTGTGGGATTTCCCTGAAATGACCCTGGGAGTTCCAAACTAAAATCCATCGGAGTTCTGCGAATAGATCCCCCAAGGAGTCATCAAATCGAAGTCCCCAGGGCCGGGAAACCCCTAATAAATTCCACAAAAATGTTTCCTAATACCGAATTCTCCACCATCAAATTTGCTGGTGCCATATGATTTCGAGATTTTTTTTTAGAACCAAAGTATCCAAATAGATCCAGCTTAGGGTTCCTATTACCCTCTGGTAATCTGAAATAACATGAAATAGCTATGGAAAATTGCCGATTTAGTTCGATGATTTCTCTATAAAGCCATGGTGATTTCACATGGCTATGTTAATTTACCGGAGGTCAGATCTCAATGGTCTTTCCATGAAATCCCCCAAAAAAAACCACATCAATCCGCTCAAATTCGGGTTTTCAACTGCTCCTGGCGTAGGGAATCACCGCTCCGGCGCCGTTGGGCACCCATTGCGCCACTGCGCTGGCAGCCGCCTGCAGCGCGGCCCTGGCGAGTCTGCCGCGGCGCAGCAGACGCCGGGCAAAGCTGAGCTGGAGGAGTTGGTCGTGCAACATCCTGAGGAAGCAGGATCGTGGTAGCGAGTATCCAGAAGCGCCGGCTTCTTTCAGAAGTGCCGATTCTTATACATATTATATATATATATACTATTTTAAAAAAAATGTTGAAACCTACATGTATAATTATATACATATACTGTATATACTGCATATCTAAAGTCTACATATGTAAATATGTCATCTGCATTTACAGACATATAACAAATACATACATAGGTACGGCACAATGCAATCCCATGCAAGACAAGACAAGACAAGACATTGCATGACTTGACATCACACGACATTACATGACCATACATTACCTACGTTTACCTACGGGGATCCTACAATTGTTGGGGGATCACGCCCTGCAACCCAGAATGATGGGCATCTATCATTGACATTAGACACACCCTCCACTGCCTCCACCAACGAAACATGGGTCAAACGGTCAAACAAGGAATTTTCTGTCGCTTCACGAATCGTTCCCAGATCACTGGTTGCATAATAATTCGTAATCTCATCCCCCAACATTAAATACACAACACCCATGTCGACCCCCAAAATGAATAGATCCAATACTCGACCATAGTTTCGTGGCGGTGTATTTCATATTTGGGGAAATGGATTCGATATCCGCCAACTTCAATAAGTTTTGGGATACGATGCGGCTTCCATTTCCTGAAGATCGAAATGCAAGCGGCACCCAGCCGAGAAACCATGAAGCCATTTGCCAAGCGCGACTAGCGCTCAAGCCTGTCAGCCTCCAGCGATTTCAGGGTACCAAGCACGACTGATACATTCAAGGCTAGCCAAATTTGAACTACAATGTTGACTGTAGCCACGTAAAATGCTTGGTTGGCATACCTCCATGCAGAAGTTCAGGTTTTTTTCGCTTCATGTAGCGAGGCCATTTCATTTGCCTGCACCGATTTTCCATGCTCCAACAATTCAATAATCGAGTGGCTTCTGGTCCGGTAGCCGAGCGGGAAAACAGAATTGAAAAACTGCCGTGTCCATCACCTTTGGCCCTTTATGCATGGCTGACCTTACATTAAGCCTTGGAATATCCATTCCCCACCATGGCCAATGAAAAAAGCCATTCGTCAGCTGCTTTCTCTAGCAGAGAAATGAGAGGCTCTCTGGGGCCACATACCTGGGGTGTATCTCCACACTTGATGGATACCCAGCTATGATTGCATGTACATCTAGCTAGATGGATAGAAAGATAGATAGATGAGATAGATGAGATTGATGAGATTGATGAGATTGATGAGATTGATGAGATTGATGAGATTGATGAGATAGATGAGATTGATGAGATTGATGAGATATATGAGATAGATGAGATGGATGAGATATATGAGATAGATGAGATATATGAGATAGATGAGATAGATGAGATAGGTGAGATAGCTGAGATAGCTGAGATAGCTGAGATTGATGAGATAGGTGAGATAGCTGAGATAGCTGAGATTGATGAGATAGGTGAGATAGGTGAGATAGGTGAGATAGATGAGATAGATGAGATAGATGAGATCGATGACATAGATGACATAGATGACATAGATGAGATAGATGAGATAGGTGAGATAGGTGAGATAGGTGAGATAGGTGAGATAGGTGAGATAGGTGAGATAGATGAGATAGATGAGATAGATGAGATAGATGAGATAGATGAGATAGCTGAGATAGATGAGATAGATGAGATAGGTGAGATAGATGAGATAGATGAGATAGATGAGATAGGTGAGATAGATGAGATAGATGAGATAGGTGAGATAGATGAGATAGGTGAGAGAGGTGAGATAGGTGAGATAGATGAGATAGATGAGATAGATGAGATAGAGAGATAGAGAGATAGAGAGATAGACAGATACAGTAGATAGACAAATAGACAAATAGACAGATAGACAGACCGACAGACAGATAGACAGATGGATGGATGAATGGATGGATGGATGGATACAAGGCACCAAGCACCAGTGAAATGATTATTCAGTGTATTTGGATTTACCACGTTACCACCATCCACGTCTTCCCTGAACTGGTTGCGTGAAACGGGTCGCAATTTGAAAACCAGCTCTCGTATGAACCTAAATCATGATGGATCCACTGCTTTATGACATTGCGTATGGGGATTGAATCATTTCAGCTGCAAAAAGGTTTAAAGTACAGATTCTTAAGTTTTTTTTCCAGTGTCTCAATTTGTTTCCAGTGTGGGGAGTGGGGGTGAACCTTTAATTTTTCCAGTAGTCAAAAGTTGTTTTTTTCCATTGTCTTCCCTTGCGTATGCCATTTCTCAGGATGTTTTATTGCCACAGCCCGACAACCGTTCAAGATGGTCATGACTTTACCGCTCATCTGGCAAGACATGGCTGGAAAACCCCAGTAACATACGGTGGGTGGTTGCGAAATCCGGCACCAGTTGATACTGTAGATGCAAGGTGGGGCCCCCCAGTTATAAGATGGTTTATAAACCCCATTAACTATAGTTATAGGTACCATAAACCATAGTTATTGGAGTTATAAACCAACTTAGCTATCTAGGGGGCCCCACTTTGTGGTTTATCCCACTATTTATGGGGTTTCAACCATCCACCAGGATTTCGCTTCACCATCCACAGTAGTTCCATGATGTTCCAATAAAAACCCTTGGCTAGAACAATGGGATTTCCCATGGTTCACCAAGCCACATCTTCCTTAGCGCCACGTCATCCAATCGCATCCCCTCCGCTTCACGGCGCCGCAGCATGCTGAGCGCGGCACGCCAGGGGCTGTTGCGCCCCGCGGCCGTCAGGAGCTGCGCCCAGCCCAGCAGACCCACACGGAGCCCAGTCGAGCGCATCTCGCGCCTGGGATGTCTGGAAGCGCCTAGATTTCCTGAAGATCTTCTGATCTTGGGAGTTCCTATACATTTTGGATATCATGGGGATACATCAATGTTTGTTTGTATATTTGGGACATGGATGGATATGGATGGATATGGATGGATATGGTAGGAGGTATCATGATCATGGTCAGGACCATGATTTTGTGGTGATAATGTCCCTGCATGTCCCAGCCCTTCTCCCGTGCTCACATCTCCAAGGTACAGCAAGCTCGTTGCACGGACCCATGACAAAGAGCTCTTGGCGTAGACCTGCACCCGCCAGGTCCCGATAGAAAACCAGGCCTATGCTCCTTGACTCATTGTTGGTTCACCCACACGTGTCATTTGGGGCGCTTCTTTTTTGTGATCTTCTGCCATTCTTTCTCTTCTTGTCTTGTCAATATTGTCATGGAAATGGAGTGCTGCCTGCTGCAGACTCATTTTGTCTGTGAAAAAAATGAAGCGTTTTTTCCGGACATTTTTCCATCACAAAACCCTATTTGCGGATAGTTCATCAAAGATAGGAAATACTCATGTAGCAAGTCATAAACCTCCGATTTTGCCCAAAAAACTCAGGGAAGGGTTTGCGGTTTTGGTTCTACGAAATAATCCTTTGTTGGGACTCCTTTACAGACAAATCCCCACGTCTGTCGGCGAAACGTACTTGCTGGTTCAACCAAACCATCATCGTTTGTCGGCTACCTCCCATTTTTGTGATCTAAATCCCAACAATTTGCAATCCCCCTATATGAAAACAACTGTGATTGTGATCCTAAATCCCAAGACACAGGAGATTACGAAAATCTCTGTTTCGTTGACAAGAGATTGCATCCATATCATCCATTGGTTTCACCGTTTCACCATGGTTCAACCCAAGTTTGGCCCAGGGCCTCATCAAGTCGCTGCTCCAACAAGGAACCCTTCGGCACGTTGCCATAGGCGATGGCCCCGAGACCGAAGACGAAGAGCATCTTCCTTTTTGCCCCGGAAAAAAAGGGGCGAAGTCTATGGGAAATCATGGGAAATCATGGGAAATCATGGGAAATCGCTCAAAAATCATCCTTCAATGGTCCGTTAGAATCTGGTAGAAAGCTGAATGGTCCATTGTTTCGGGATGTTTGGTACGTGAATCCGTTCTGACCAGTTGCTGGCTATATCGACACGCATTGAGGCTCTTGGTTTCTGTGACCACCCTCACCCAATGTCAAAACCACGTCCTCAATCCCCCAAAATTTGATGAGGATTCAATGAACAATCCATCATCCTGGCTGGATATTAATATCAATCAAGCCCATAGTTGACTTGATGAATAGACAAATAATACAAGTAGCATCTCTTGATTCTGTTGATCTAACATAGACATAGCTCAGGGGCAGTTGCCCAAATGATTTACCTATCAAAAAGGACGAGATTGACAGAACGTAACCTGTAATATCTCATGAATCAAAAGTGATCAATAATCAATCATTCTCGGTTGACGTTAGTAGTACCAATAGATCATAGTACTCATCCATAAAATATCCATTATACAGTATACACTATTTTTTAATCAGCAAATCCTCTATCAAAAGGGCCATTTTCAGTGGTTTCATAATGTTTCATCCATAATATCTGGGCAAATTATAACAATTCACTAACCTGAAAATTGCGGCCAATTTGGGATGATTCCCCTTATTAACCATGATTCCAGGGTTCGGGAGAACAGTGAGGTCGTCATAAAAATTGCCCAAATATATCATGATAGATCTATTACCATCTGGTTATGACTAACATAACCATGGAAAATCCCAACCATAAATGGAGGTTTATAGCTGGGAAAATCCCCCCTTTTCCTCACCTCGAGAGCACTTCACTTCCCAACTGCTGCGGCCAGCGCTGCGCCGCAGCGCCCCGCAGCAACTCCAACGCGTCGCGCCACGCCGCCGACGTCACCAGGGCACGCAGCGTCTGCAGCAGCGGCCGCTGGAGCAATTCAAAACGGCCTGGCGTCAGAAAAATGGCACCAAGAGGGTCCCAAACATCCAACACCTCCGACTGGTCCCTTCCAAGTTCTGGTTTGGTTCTGAACTGCACTGTTCAGGCCTTTGGTTTCAGCAACCGAAGAGAAATTGGGAGGCAGATTTGGGGGAAATGTGGCTGTTTCGCAAAGGGAACTTGGAGGCAAGGATTGGCCAAAAAATGGAGATTTTACCACTTGCAGTTTCACCAAGAAAACTGAGAAAGTGTTGGCGATTGTGTCCCAAAATCTGAGAGCGCGCAATGATCTGAGGATTCATGGGATCTTTTTCTATAATTGTGCCATGATCTGTATCATCGAACATGTGTGTGTGTGTGCCGTTGACTTGGCACAGGTGAGGTGTTTAAACGTCTATTCTCACCCCAAAGGGCCACGGTCTTCAATAGGTATAATTTCAAAAACTTGAAATTTTGCAGGGTGCTGTTTTGCGTGTCATCTCCTCGAAAGATTGCTTGTTTATGCCATCTTTGGGCTAAGTTCCACCGGTTGCCAACTTTAGAGGTATGCTTCTGCTTTTTCTTCTTCTTCTTCTTCTTTTTCTTCTTCTTCTTCTTCTTCTTCTTTTCTTCTTCTTCCTCTTCTTCTTCTTTTTCTTCTTCTTCTTCTTCTTTTCTTCTTCTTCTTCTTCTTCTTTCTTCTTCTTCTTCTTATTCTTCTTCTTCTTCTTCTTCCTTCTTCTTCTTCTTCTTATTCTTCTTCTTCCTTCTTCTTCTTCTTCAATTTCTTCTTCTTGACAATATACTATAAATAATGTAAATTAAGTGGCCTGGTCCCTCCAGTGGATGCAACTGCACCAAAAGGCAACGGAAATGGGACAGCCATGGGCCGCACTCCGGCTGGATCACCATGTCACGGCCGGTTATCAAACCCCCATCTTCCCAGCTCACGATACTATCATGTTATAATTGTTATAGAGATAGCATGATCATATCCATAAAAACAACATGATATAGCACTATAAATATCATCATATGGGAAAAATGATGGAAATGTTCCATTGCTAGGTGTGATTCCCCAATTGGGCACCAAACCTGGCGGCTGCGGCCGCTCCCGCGCCGGGTCGGGCGCTGTCGTGCCACGCGCAGCAATGCCGCGGAAGAACTCTTCGACGCAAAGGTGCCAGCCTTGCAGCAAGGCATGCCTACTAGGTATGTATACGTATATGTATACCTATGTATTTATTTATTTATATTTAATTATCTATTTATTTATTGATTTATTTATTTATTTAAATTAGTTTATTTATTTCTGTAATTATGTTGTTATTTGTTTACTTATAAATCTAATTATCTATATTTATAGATTTATTTGTTTTTTATTTACAGTTATGTTTTATTTCTTTATTTATTTGTTTATGTATAGGTATATGATGGTATATGTATATGCACATGCACATGCATATGGATATGTATATGTATATGTATATGGATATGTATATGTATATGTATATGTATATGTATATGTATATGTATATGTATATGTATATGTATATGTAATGTAATATTATGTGCGTGTGTGTTTGTGTGACGTACGTCTAACTGGGCACCATGTGATTGTTGCCTACTTACTAACTGCGATGTGTACTTGAGAAGTGCATCAGCAACTGGCAAACTGGGCTTGTCTGAAAATAGGGCACCGAAAAATGATGGAAAATGCATGTCTTAATGGTCATAAAGAATGCCCTACTTTCAGATAATAAACTTTGTTCTTTAGAATCCATTGTTTACTACCCACGCGCGAAAATGGGATGCACACCCAAGTACCCCGCTGTGGACCCTAATGTTCAGGGATGTTCAGGGTGCGTGTACAAATTTGGGGGTTGTACAGTGTGAACACGGTGAACGCTTGGACATAGGACAGAGCACCCACAAAGCAAAAGCTGGCTGGAGCGGAGATCATGAGGTCAAAGACTGCGGGGTCGTACGCTCTTCTTTCTTGGTTCATGGCCATTGTTTGGTTTCTCAGAACTTGGAAGCCTCTACAGTAAGTTCTAATGGTTCGTTGCATTTTTTCTCCTTAAAATTGCCATAACATGTCTTGTTTCTCCTCCTGCCATGAACCCGTTTAAATTCGTGGTGGCCCCATCACTTGAACCAGTGCCAAGCATCTACCCATTTCGCTATGCAGCCGAATCTTGCTCCGTTGAAGCTGCTCAGACAACCGGCCTCGAAACCGCTTGGGGCTGGCAAGGTACAAACGTACGTGTTGAATGCTCGAATCAATTTCAGTCAGTTCATCAGCTTCTGGTTGGCTTATTTTCGTGAGTCTCCGAACTAGTGATACGTTCAATTGAAACGCACCCCAGAAAGGGATTTTTCGAGATGCCCATATTGAAGGCCATGGGCAATCGCAGCCAAAGATCAACAGAGTTTTTATGGCGCCTCCATCTCCCAACCCCTCGGTAATATGAAGGGCTTCCGTCCAGTGCTGCGAACGAGCTACCTGCTGGCGCCGTCCGACAAGGCGCGAATTTCTGACACTTGGAATCACCTTGCGACAAAAATGTTGACCATGTTTCAACCTGGAAAATATGGTGGAAAATATCGAAGTTCTTTCAGGACAAACAAAAATTGAGCACATTTTGACGGAAAATGACCCAGTTACCAATGATTTATCGTGGTTTACCACAATTTTCTCACGGCTCAGCACGGCACCTGATTGACTGCTGCGATGATGCGCCGTTGCCACCTCGGCTCCGGGCGAACGGAGCTTCCGGCAACCAGCTGCAGCAACAGCCGGGCGCGCAACAGCTGTGGCGCCACCACACCTTGGAAACAAAGGGCTGCAGATTTTGTTTGGATTTTTTGTTGTTTTTTTGTGATTTTTTTTGTTTTTCAGTCTGGGGCACTTTTCCTTGCTATTTGCTACATTTTGGAGCAAAAACCTGTACTTTGCTGAATTTGGGAGCTAAAATTTGCCATTTGCACTGTTCATCGATCTTCCATGGTTTTACTCGATTTTCCATGGTGTTCATTGATTTTCCCAAAGTGTTCATCGATGTTTCCATAGTTTTCCTTGGTTACAATTGATTTTTCCATGGTTTCAATCGATTTTTCCTTGCATAACATGCACCTGGTGAACATGTAGAATATAGGTTGAAGCACAACCCTCTTGGTTCTAAATAGTGGCATTGGATGCTATCATAATGTTGGTGGGTTTAGGGTTTATTTAGGGTTGGTTTAGGGTTGGTTTCAGGTTTATTTAGTGTTGGTTTAGGGTTTATTCATTGTTATTTAGGGTTGGTTTGGGGTTGGTTTAGGGCCTATTTAGGGTTAGTTTAGGGTTAGTTTAGTGTTTATTTGGGGTTGGTTTAGGGTTATTTAGTTTAGGGTTCGTTTAGGGTTTATTTAGGGTTGGTTATTTATGTCGGGTTGGTTTAGGGTTTCTCTAGTTTGGTTCAAGGTTTATTTAAGGGTTATGTAGGTTTGGTTTAGGGTTTATTTAGGGTTGGTTTAGGCTCTATTTAAAGTCTGTTGAGGGTTGGATTAAGGTACATGTAGAGATACAGGGCGTGTGTGTGTGTAAAGATATATAGATAGGCAGATAGATAGATAGACAGACAGATAGATAGATAGATAGACAGAAAGACAGACAGATAGATAGATTTAGATAGATTTGATTGATTGATTGAATGATTGATTGATAGATAAGATAGATAAGATAGATAAGATAGATAAGATAGATAAGATAGATAAGATAGATAAGATAGATAAGATAGATAAGATAGATAAGATAGATAAGATTAGATAAGATTAGATAGATAGATAAGATTAGATAGATAGATAAGATAAGATAAGATAAGATAAAGATAAAGATAAAGATAAAGATAAGATAAGATAAGACAAGATAAGATAAGATAAGATAGATAGATAGATAAGATTAGATAGATAAGATTAGATAGATAGATAAGGTTAGATAGATAAGATTAGATTAGATTAGATTGATAGATAGATAGATAAGATTAGATAGATAGATAATATTAGATAGATAGATAAGATTAGATAGATAGATAGATAATTAGATAGATAGATAATTAGATAGATAGATAATTAGATAGATAGATAGATAGATAGATAGATAAGATAGATAGATAAGATAGATAAGATTAGATAGATAGATAAGATTAGATAGATAGATAAGATTAGTTAGTTAGTTCAGATAAGATAAGATAAGAAAAGATAAGATAAGATAGATGGATAGATAGATAGGATTAGATAGATAGATAGGGTTAGATAGATAGATAGATAGGTAGATAGATAGATAGATTAGATAAGAAAAGATAAGATAAGATAAGGTAGGATAAGATTAGATTAGATTAGCTTAGCTTAGATTAGATTAGATTAGGTAGATAGATAGGTGGATAGATAGATAGGATGGATGGATAGATAGATAGCTAGATAGATAGATAGATAGATGGATAGATAGATAGATAGATAGATACTTTAGATAGATTAGAGAGATTAGAGAGATTAGAGAGATTAGATAGATTAGATAGATTAGATAGATTAGATAGATTAGATAGATACTTTAGATAGATTAGATAGATACTTTAGACAGATTAGATAGATACTTTAGATAGATACTTTAAATAAATACTTTAGATAGATACTTTAGACAGATACTTAGATAGATTAGATGGATCAGACAGATTAGATAGTAAGATAGGATAAAATAAGATAAAATCAGATAAGATTATATAGATTAGATTAGATTAGATTAGATTAGATTAGGTTAGATTCGATTAGGTTAGATTAGATTAGATAGATAGATAGATAGATAGGCAAAGCATGGTAAAGCCACAAAAGCCACACACCCACACAAGCCTCAAAAGCATACAAAAGCCACAAAGCCAGGCTGGAAAACAAAAAACACAAAAAAAAGCCCTCCGAAACAAAGGGAAATTCATGGAAAATTGCATATTATTGACATGCAGAAAAATATTGGAGAATTTGTTTTACATAAATAACTCGAAAGATAAATGCGGATTGGGGAAATCAAACAGGCAAGTGGCTGAGTAAGTAAAAAAACGGCAAGGACCATGATAAAGAATCTGTTGTTGGTCTGCAGCATGAAGTTCAACCAAGTGCTTGATACTTTGCGAACTTGGAGACAAGTTGCTGGGCTTTCGCACGTCCATGGCATCATGGCTCCCAGCATCATTAGACACTGAGCTGGGATGAAGGTGGCAAAGTGGCAAAGGGGTGAGGGGATGAACCCCACCCGCAGGCACTTCAAGCTGCTCTGGCAAGTTTCACAACATAATTCCCCGCAACCAGAAAGAAATCCTTCACAAATTTGGAGGGCTGATGGGCTTGAGGGGGCTTTGCATTTTCGCACTGTGCAGGCCGAAGTTTCATTGTATTGTGGGGGTTGTGCCAACTCGGTTTTTGCGATGAAACTCAGCGTTTTGGAGCCGGGACTGCAGGCAAATGAACCGAAACGCATCAAAGCTGGGACTCTGCAACAGGAGCCAACCTATTGGGCCACCTGTCAACACCAAATGGAAGCCATGAACAGCTGCGTTCCGCCTCTTCGAAACAAATGTTTGTGGCGATGCACTGCATCACTGCGTGGGGGCCTTTTTGAAATGGGGCAGTAGAAAAATTCAAGGATCATCTGGTCCATCTACAAAATACCCGCTGGTTATTCAACATAGCTAAGGAAAATGGCCCATTTGATGATTATTTACCCTTTAAAAATTGTCATTTTCCAGTTCGCTACCTTAACCAAAGGGCATTTTCCAATCCCCTGGTCGTACCGGTCCGCCCTGCCTTCCCAGCAATACCTTGGTGGCACGTGTTTGATGGATGGTGTCTTGCTGGGTGATGGTGGAATTGATATCTTAAGATCCGAAACAAGCGACCCTGCCCGCAGGGTCGAAAGTATTCACTTAGGTGGTAGCCACCTATAGCAGTTCACCATAGTTCACCATCCCTAGGATCCCTAGATGATCAGCCAAGTGTATACTTAAGTTACTTACTCCACATTTCTTGTTTCCACGTGCTGAAAACTCGCTACGTCGCTACGTGTTGGTTTACATCTTGGCTCGGAGCTTCCATGGATCAATCCCCCAACCGAATCCATCCACCATCATCCTAGCATCATGCTACCACTATGCGATTACAAATCTCAAATGATGGTAGGATGATGGTAGGATGATGGTGGATGATGGTTCAGCTTATTTGAGATTTGTAATGATTTGTAATCACTAGCTCCTGGTTTCTCTGTGCGATGTCAAGCCCGCAATAAACTTACTCCGTTGATCGAGTGGAACACTCCAAACACTCCAATTCTGGCACCCATTGATTGGGTTCTCTGGGGTTGCTATCCCCACCTGGGGTCCCCATGCTGTCAAACACCATGTCCTACCGTCCTATCCATGGATGTCCATTTTTCGGATTGAATAGGTCGGCTGATCAGTCTCCGAGTTTAAAACACGGTGAACAAACCAATGAGCAAAAATAGAGTGGTTCGAAACTGAACCCTTTTTTCCCCAAGAATCCGACATTGGTACCCCCCATCTCCGAACAGCCAGAGCACCGGATTCTTCTCGGAATGCCAGGGTGAAGGTTTTTGCGGCTTGCTTCCGCAAGTGCAGCGTTTCACACAACGCATGATCACGTTATCCTGCAGCCATCACCAAATGGATAACGAACCAGCTGCTTGCTTCATCATTTTTCACCTTTGAACATGTTCTAGATCCCCAATGGTCATTTGTGTTATATTGGACATCCACTGACATCCACTGTTGGTTGGCTTTGTTTGATTTAAAATCATTTACAATCCATGTCTTGCCAGCATCAGTGCTATCGTTTCAGCTCCTGATCGACGTCTTGGATATGCACCCAGCTTTCTAAAATGCCTTGCCGGCGCTTCAAGGATTTCACGCCTCTGTAGAGCGCCTGGCCAGCTGAGCATAGCTGAGCATAGCTGAGCAGCCCAAGCGGCCACTCACACAATCTGAATCTATCAAAGGGTGATGAAGGACATTGATCCATTGGTTCATCATAGAATACCAGTAGTACCGCACAAGGCGGTTGCGGAAGTTTCAAAAATAGGAAACCTATAGGAGAGATTGGTTGTTGTGAATCAGGGATGGCAGAGCGAAGCCACTGATGGATCGAAAGACGATTGATCTCTCTCACTCTTTCTCTGACTGTCTACCTACCTACCTACCTATCTATCTAGCTATGTATCTATCTATCTATCTATCTATCTATCTATCTATCTATCTATCTCTCTATCTAGCTATCTATCTCTCCCTCTCTCTCTTTCATTTGATTACTCTATCTATCTATCTATCTATCTATCTATATCTATCTATCTATCTATCTATCTATATCTATCTATCTATCTATCTATATCTATCTATCTATATCTATCTATCTATCTATCTATCTATCCATCTATCTATCTATCTATCTATCTAATCTATCTATCTATCTATCTATCTATCTATCTATCTATCTATCTATCTATCTATCTTATCTATCTAATCTATCTATCTATCTATCTATCTATCTATCTATCTATCTCTCTCTCTCTCTTTCATCTGTCTATCTGTCTAGCTGTCTACCTGTCTATCTATTTACCTATCTATCTCTCTCTCTCTCTTTCATCGGTCTATCTGTCTAGCTGTCTAGCTGTCTACCTGTCTATCTATCTATCTATCTATCTATCTATCTAGCTATCTATCTATCTATCTATCTATCATATCTATCTATCTATCTATCTATCTATCTATGTGTTTGTCTGTCTGTCTGTCTGTCTACCTATCTATCTATGGTGCACCTAGCTACCTACCTACCAATCTATCTATCTATCTATGTATCTATCTATCTATCTATCTATCGATCTATCTCTCTCTCTCTCTCTCTTTCATCTGTCTCTCTGTCTAGCTGTCTTCCTGTCTATCTGTCTATCTATGTATCTATCTATCTATCTATCGATCTATCTCTCTCTCTCTCTCTTTCATCTGTCTCTCTGTCTAGCTGCCAAACGTGGTCGGAGACCGCCAGTTTTTAACACTTTTGACTTCAGAATGTGCTTCGCGCCACAACGGCGTGCACTTTTTCGACATCTTGACTTCCAAAAGTGGTCCGGACCTGGTGTGTTTTGTACATTTTGACTTGGAAATGTGCTTCGCGCCACAACGGCGTGCACTTTTTCGACATCTCAACTTCCAAAAGTGGTCCGAGACCGCCAGTTTTTTACACTTTTGACTTGGAAATGTGCTTCGCGCCACAATGGCGTGCACTTTTTCGACATCTCAACTTCCAAAAGTGGTCCGAAGCTGAGGTGTTTTGTACATTTTGACTTGGAAATGTGCTTCGCGCCGCAACGGCGTGCACTTTTTCGACATCTCAACTTCCAAAAGCGGTCCGAAGCTGAGGTGTTTTGGACATTTTGACTTGGAAATGTGCTTCGCGCCACAACGGCGTGCACTTTTTCGACATCTCAACTTCCAAAAGTGGTCCGAACCTGGTGTGTTTTGTACATTTTGACTTGGAAATGTGCTTCGCGCCACAACGGCGTGCACTTTTTCGACATCTCAACTTCCAAAAGTGGTCCGGACCTGGTGTGCTTTGTACATTTTGACTTGGAAATGTGCTTCGCGCCACAACGGCGTGCACGTTTTCGACATCTCAACTTCCAAAAGTGGTCCGAGACCGGTGTTTTTACATTTTGACTTGGAAATGTGCTTTGCGCCACAACGGCGTGCACTTTTTCGACATCTCAACTTCCAAAAGTGGTCCGAACCTGGTGTGTTTTGGACATTTTGACTTGGAAATGTGCTTCGCGCCACAACGGCGTGCAATTTTTCATCTCTCATCTGGCCAGCTGGCTCCGCACCCGCCGCTTTAGCGAGCCTACTTTTCGAGCCTCCGGAGCCACATATCATTGGAAAAACACAGTGTTTCGCGACTTTCCTACCTTTTCGCGCATCTGCATCTTCTTTCTTCTGACTCTTTCTCTTCTCTGATCTTCTCTCTTCTAATCTTTCTCTTCTCTCTCCCTCTGCCCTGCTCTGCTTTTCATCTGTCCATATTGTCGGAAGTTTGACTTCTAAACTTCCTTCGATCATAGAATATCAGATTGAATCTCATCGAATATCATAGTTATATTCCATCATTCATCATAGATATCATAGAATAGATGATAATATATCATAGAATATCTATCATCCATAGTGGATCTATCATAGAATCCATAGATCCACTCCGAAGACCCTGACCTCGGAGGTCGACCCCCCGCCTTCCGCGCGGCCAAGGGGACTTTTGGACACCGATCCAAGTTCATGGCCAGGCACTGCGATGCGGCCACGGAGATCTTGGGATTTTGAAATGCGGAACATGTCTGCAGGTGTCAGAGTCAGAGGTGTAGTCATGGGTGTTACAATACATATATATATATATATGTGTGTGTGTTGTGTATATATTAATTTTAATTGATATATATATATATATATTAATTTATTTATTTATTTATTTAATTTATTTATCTATTTATTTATTTATTTACATTTATATATATATATATATGCATCATCTGAAAACGTGTATCTCTATCAGCACAATAAAGAAACCAGCAACTATCCACCGTCGAACCCATCTGTTCCCCAGCAACTCCAATGCACCTCAAGGGAAGTCAACTTCGGCAGAGCCTCAAGTGATTGCTTTGGGGCCGAAGGCGGCCGAAGGATACTTGAGCAATGTCAACCATGGAAGAAATGGCAAGATTGATTTGGGGCCACCAAAAGCATGTTGTGAACATTGAGCCAAAGAGCCTGGACTTTTAATCCGGAGTTGAGGTTTCGGAATTTGGTGATTTCAAGTCATAGCCTTAACCATTTCATATCGCCCACAAACTCTGGTGAAAAAGAGCCCGGAGATCAAAGCGCCACAGCTGATTACATTTGTTGGAGATCATGGGAAGGGACCACGGACACACACGTGCGTGGAGGATCGTGGAGGTCGCTACAAGGACCTCAGAATACACATTGTTAACATCTGCAGGAGCTAGATGAAACTTCATTAAACCCCTAATGTTACCCTCTGGTTATTTAACATAGCCATGGAAAATGGCCCATAGAAATAGATGGTCCTATTAAAGATGGTGATTTTCCATGGCGAACTGTTAGTCATAACCAGATGGTACATTCTCTAACGAAACTCTGATGGGACTACTCCATCCGTCCTCTTGGAAGCGCCTCGTCCAGTCCTTCAATGCTCTCCAGATTCATCAGCTTGGAAAACCAGAGCGCCAGCAACCGCAGCTGCGACATTTCCTGCCGCAGTCCAAGATCTTGGTGAATAAGTGGCCTTCCCAAAGGGGAGATCGCGCAAAAATCTATTTAGTTGAACATGTGCAATATATATATATATATATACGCCTCTACATCTATCTATATATATATATAATCTATATGTGTGTGTGTGTGCACATCAACAAATCAGTCAAAGACCCACAAAATCGGGGGAGGAAAAAAAAAAAAGCAATGCCTGCAGGGCCACACCCAGGCCGGCCATGCTTTCCAGGTGCCTGAAAAAAAGCAAAGCCAAGGCCCGGGCCGTGCCTACACAACGAAACATCGGCCGAAAAACATTGCTATATATAGTTAGTAACCCCAAAAAAAAATGCACAAAAATAATTCATGTCGTATTTGTGTGTTTGAAATTTATTGTTCGTTTCTATCTTTTTAAGGGGGAGTGCTATATATCTAGATATGTATATGTACCTATCAAATGGAAAATTGCCATTTCTGATGTCTAGGTCCCTGACAGGAAAACCCAGTGAAATTTGGGCATGGATCGGATCAATATCTAAGAATCCTGAGAGCATAGATTCTGGTAATTGTCAGTGTTACAGCAACCATCTGATTTTTGCCCAGCTGCTTACAACCAGGGAAGCGGAGCTCCAGATGCACCAGAGAGTTGCATTGGCCCAAGCGCTCCAGAGGTTCCAGGGTCACCAGGGAAGTGAAACCCAGATCCAAGCGCAACACCTGAGCCACCAATAAACCCCCGCCTGCCTACCGAATTTTACCATGTGGCTGGCGTATTCCTACAAGACCTATTCCAGGTGTATATATATATATAATACAATATATATATATATATATCGATGTATATAGACCTATCCCCAAAAAAAAGAATGGGTTGAAGAAAAACTGAAACCATCATGGATCGGACCAGCCTCCAGCGACAATGGCAAGTGATTCACCAACATCGCTAAGTCCTGGAGAAGACTTTTGCCAGTGTGGGAATGCAGATCAGCCCAGAACTGGGTAACTGCAACTCTCACCCATGTGCTACCACTAGATACCTGCCAGTCTCTATCCCCGTCAAACCTCAAAACTGAGTTAACCAAATGAGGTCAAGTCTGAGTCCATGCGGGACTCACGAGTTTAACCGCCAGTATCAAGTGACTGTCCACTGCTCCATGGAACTACCGCAGCAAACTTACCTCACTGCAAACTCCCGTACCACTTCCCTATTGGGGCCTAGTCGCTGCGGATTTCCCAAAACAGCTGTCACACTGCATCCACGTGGGTACACCAATACACGGTACACAAATGGGATGGTGGGGTCCCTTTTTTTTGGCCCGAAAATTGATCCCTACCCATGTGGTGCATTTTGATGTGCCACTGCTGACTAGTTGATTTGTTTGGGGTATTCCAGTTGGTTTATTGGTGATAGTTATAAACTATATATATATATATATACATGACCCATTTCATAGCGATACCGATTTACCAGCCAGTACAGTGTGGTAAACCCAATCATAAACCGTCCCCAATATTACCATGAATGGGTGGGGTATGAAATCACCCCCAAATGCATCGGTGGTTCATTATTGGGTCTACCACACTATGCCAATCCATCAATTATCCATTAATCATCCACTATTGTTTGTTATACCCCCATGATTAACCATTGATTCTGGGCAAATTACAATAATTCACCAACCTGAAACTTGCAGCCAATATTGAGACATCCCCCTTACGAACCATCATTTAACTGAGGTCCCTGTGAGGCCATTATTTAACCAGATTGATTGCTGGGCATGCAAATCACCCCGACCGAAACCCCGGTCCGAGTCGTACAAACGTATGCAGCCTGTGAAGGACAACTGCACCATCCGCCTGCCAACAACCAGCATACATCTGCCGTTCCCAGATGCGTTGACGAAGTGAAAATCTCTGCGAAATTTCATATAAGTTGATGCGAAAGAAATAAAATAAGCCCAGGTGGTTTCCCCAACGATAGTTACTTACAGCAGCCAGTGAACACCTACATCCTACATCGGAACCACCACATGGAACCTCCCGTGTAAAGCCCGGAAGCTGCACCGGAAGCTGCACCGAAAATTATCTGCGTTGAGATTCCTAAACCCTGTTGGGGAATAGTGAAACAAAATTGGAACTGAAATTGCACAAGCAACCCCAGATAGCAAAATAGTTTTTTGCGTCAGTCTTCATCAATGAAGGGAGACAAGACGGGGAGACAAGGCGGCAGCACGATAAGGATCGTCGTTGCTGCACCATTCAACGGGAACATGCATACACGCACCACGCCCATATCCCATATATTGTCTATATTATAAACACACTGTCATACAATCTCGGTACAATATTTCAGTTGCATGGGTATAATCATAACTCTCGTCAGCTACAAAAATGAATTTGTCGATCAAAAATGAAACTTGCCAACGAGAGTACATTCCTTGTTGGGCATCCATCAAAATCTCAGCGAGACAAAACTGGGAGACAAGGCGGCAGTGGCAAAATCAATGTTTCGCAATCATGATTTCATTCATTGAAAAGTAAGAACCCCTACGGCTGACGCTATCTGGGGCAACCTGAGAATGAAAGCCAACATCTCCTTTATATTTACATATATTTACCAGGTCAGTAAAGTTTATCCGAGAACCAGGCCTAAGATTCCCAGGTCAATATACCTCCGACTCTATCGCCTCTCGTCCGCATCTCTAGGTCTCGCCCACAAGTCTTGTTTACAACGCCAAGACCGAAACTCCGATCTCCATGTTGATGTCTCTAAATGGCCCCTATGCCTCATCGCCCACAAGCCTTGTTTACAAGCCCGAAGAGCCGAACCAGAGGGGAATCGATACCCCACCGTCACCCCGTCACTGAATTGCGACTCGGTACATCTCAAAACGTACCCAGCCCACCTAAAACACCACCTAATTTCGTGTTTTCTGACCACTTTTGCACGACCCCCAGGCCCCCTAGACTCACTTCGTTCGTAGTATTTACTTCAGCCTCTTTCGTAAAAAAAATGGAAAATCATAGAGTTAACCCATAAAAGTATGAAAAATTTACCTATCCAATCTGTTTCCATCAGTTTTTGAAGGAGTCATCGCAAGGCGCAAGGTGCAGGTCTAATCATTCCAATGGAGGAAACGACAATTTCCATAATCTGGGTTGGCACATGATCGTATTGGATGATCACAAAAGCTACCTGGTACCTGACTGCTCAACTGAATGTTCACAACTAAATATTGGTCACCTCTGGTCACTTGCGCACCCACGCGTTGAATCCCTTCATTTTGCTTCCGGGAGGGAGAAAAAACACCTAAAACATGGGATCTCTCCACATCGGCCGCTCCTGGAGGTGTCAAGCACAAGCGCTTTGGCCAAGGGAGTTGGATCCCAACCCTGCAAAATGCTGTTGCACCTTGGATCCGCACAGCCCACGTTTTTCCCATCTCTTTGAATCCAACTTGCTCGAACCTAACCGTATCTCATCCTAATCCTAACGACCGTGTCTATCTGTCATCTTGTCTATTCCATCTTATCTATCTATCTATCTCATCTCATCTCATCTCATCTCATCTCATCTCATCTCATCTCATCTATCTATCTATCCTGTCTATTGATCTTGTCTCTCCATGGGTCTATCTAACCCAATCTAAATCTAATCCCATCCAATCCAAACCGCTGCTACACACAGCCTGAGTTTGTTATAGCCTGAGGAGCTTTCTGTTACATATTCCAATACCAAGGTTTGATGGCCTGATTTCCGCCAACGATCCTGTCAACCTTTCAAATCTTGATGTCTTGCGTTCTCGGCAACGCCTGCCAAAACAAAAAGAATATTCTTAGTCGCTGCCCGAGTACTTGTCAGGCAGACATGTTGACAACAGTAATTCGTGATCCACTTGGTTTGGGTGGAACCATCTGGCTTTAGCTGGATGGAAACCACGGTCATCACTCAGCTATGTGATGGTTCCCCATTTTAGGTATTGAAGGAGGATTACAAACAATTTTTCAACGTTGGGACGGCCTTGGGAACCATGCGGAATCATAGGGAAGGGAGGGCTGGATTTGGGTTTCCCCATGGTTTTCCCATGGTGTTCCCGTGGTTTTCCAATGGTTTTCCAATGGTTTTCCAATGATTTTCCAGTTCCCACCCAAAAAAACACGGTTTTTCCAGGGCCAGGGCACCAACTCGCCAGAGCAAACTGCGCTGAGAGGGCGCAATTCACCGTCTGATACTTCTCGTGTTCCTGTGCCAGAAAAAATATATGTGGCCAGATCGAGAACTGAGAAGCATACTGAATTCAGTATTCTACACACTTACATATATATATATCTGTGTGTGTGTATGTATATGTACATGTATGTATATGTATATGTGTGTGTGTACTGGAATTATCCGATGCCCCATGCATCCACCATACGCAGGAGGAGCAAGCAGAGCCAGGCCATTGGCTCCACAGCTTTGCTCTGAAAAGATTACGCACGTGGGACAGAAAACCACCAAAAGTAACAATCCCTTAAAGGGGTTGTCGTGAGGGAAATGGATTTATCATACGTCAACGAGCTTGATTCGATGGTCCCGCTGATTTAGAATGAGCACGCGCCACCCAGTACGGTGATCACGTACCATTTCAACTTTATACACAAATCTTGAGATCACGTACCTATTCACTTTGGGAAGGTGAACCAATCCGACTTGCCTGGCTGAAAAGGATTGAAATATCCTGGTGTGCCACCTGCAGTCCACCCCTTGGCCCAAGCCCCATCTCCTGCGGTGGCGTAGCAGAAAGCTCTTCCAAACGTGCGTGGGGGAAGGCGATGCTGTTCAGAATGCGAGTCCTGAAATTGGGGAATGACCAGGACCATATAGGAGTTTCCCCAAAGCATCCATTTGAATAGGATTTTCCGTTATAAACTTAAAAACCATCCATTGTTGGGTAGCCCCATTTGTGGAAACACCCATATTCGACAGCAAACCTTAGCTACCCTCCTTTTTCTGGGCCAGATAGTGTTACAGTATTCCGCCATGTTTGGGAGAGAAAAAGACCTAACCCATCGACCTATCAAAAGCACTTGTGGACCCACCAACTCAACTGGAGGTGTACAAACAGCATGTGCAAGGTCAATGTATGCCTCGAAGGGTCGAAGGAATCTCAGGGTCTTCGGAATATCCCAAACAAAAACGCCCTGATATGACGTTACCTCCGCATAAAGAATCTCCCCATCAACCCCTATCCCCCACCTATCAGCTTCATGGCTGGCTGTAGCCGAAAGGATGTTGATCCTCAGGGCCTTCTGCAAAATGTGCATGGGAAACGTCATCTCCCGACAAGTCCTGAGGCCGAATTCGCCGGAATTCCGCCAAGGAATCGTTGGAGGGGCCGAGTTTGAGATACTGACAGATATTTGTTGGATACTGACAAGGTAACAAGGTAACAAGGTATAATTTCAGAACTCGCCAAGTTCCAAAAAGTCCGACGTTTCAAGATATTTCAAGTGAATCTCGTGTCAATGGCCACTTAAAACAAACCGAAGCATTGTATAGCATTGTACAACCCTCATTTCAGCTGTACCCAGCCACAGCAAACTCTCGGATCTCGTCCCAGCGTCTTGTGGTGCAAACCCAGCAGGGGCACCATTTGATTTTCGATCCCTGCCAAGCCATCTGTGATGACGTGCGCGACGCCTAGACATTTGTGGTGAAGGTGTGGACCACTCCATGTCCAACGTGGTAAATGGGTTTGTCTGAAAATAGGGTATATTCCCAATGAAATAGCCATTTAATAGGGATAATGATCAGCAAAACCATTGGGTTTAGGGGTACGCTATTTTCAGACACACCCAAATGTAGTTCTAAATCATCTTGTATCCTTTAGAAGACCTGGTTTGTTAATACGTGTTCTCACATTCTTTACTCGGCTATTTTTTATGTGCTTGCCTCACGTTGTCAGATTAGTATATAACATGGCAAACCCAAAGCCATTAAAGTATCCCCAATACGGCAATGGATTGGTTTGTGTATTTGTACCATCTCCAAATGGTAGTTGCTCATGGCATTGGTTTCACCCAATATGTCAAAACTCATCGCTATATACCCAACTCCCAAAGTTTTTTTTTGGGGTTCCCCGCCTTTTTACATACACTTGTCATTATTCCCGGTACCAACCAGCCAACCCCCCAACCCCCCAACCCCCCAACCCCGGCACCATCGGCATCGGTGGCGCAAACGTCCAACAGCAGCTTATGACGCCGCTCCGTGCCGTTGCGCTTCTCCACCGCGATGGCTTCCTCAAAGCCTTGGAATGCGATTTTCACGGGTAAACGCCTTAGGTTTCATGGCAGATCTGGCCATCTATGTAGACTGTAGGGACTTATGGGGATGGGGATATTACCCTTCAATAGTCATGGCTGGAAAAAAGCCGAATAAATGGAAGTTCAATAGCTGGAAGAATAATCTTCCATTGGCATGTTTGATTACCGGAATCTGCATAAATTGTATTCAATAATTCACCAACCTGAAAAATTGAGCAATTTGGGGTTCTGGAAAAATCACTGGTATGTAGAAAGTCACATGAGCCATGTTAACCCCCAGAGTAGCGATAATTCACAAGAAATCTAGCGTCAAAATGATTCATTGGGATTTTTTGGGCAACATGAATGGATTATTAATGGGGACATTAATGTGGGATATGAATGGTGGACATTGATGGGGGATATTGTATCAACACTACATGAACAAACATGGACATAGAAGCAACAGCCTTTTACATATTTCTCTGCCTGTTGGCAACTTCAACCAGCCTGGTCACTTTGGTCTCAATCATTCCAACTTGAGATGGAACTCGTTCAACCTCCTTTTGCTGATGATTCTCTCCTTTTTGCGAGGTGGTGTCTGGCTCAAGTCATTGGAAACAGATCTCTTTTAAAAGATCCAGCCAGAGCAACAAATGTCAAAGGTCATCTCATCCCCCGAATATGACATACTTATATACCCCGCCAGGAACCTCTGGTTTAGTACTGAATCTTTCACGTCATTTGGCCCATACAAGGTGGTGCCCCATAATTAGCGAAGTTGGACCGCAATAACTCCAATTTCATTCAAGTTTATGGTAGGTGTAGGTATATCATCCATAATTCTACAAGTACTCTGGTTTCAAAACCATATCTGGGGTGTTCACCACCTTTGGCAAAAATGAGATTCTACAGCTTCGCAACGGTTTTAACGGGCCAAGTGACAACACCAAATTCGCCGAAATGGTGTGGCTTGGTCATCCAGCAGGAGGACCACCCCCTCGCACCGCTGCATGGCACGATAGAAGCTGCTCCTGACTCGGGAACCCCCAGGAGGTGGAGCATCCGCGACAGTAGAAGCTAGCCGCGGTTGATCCCCTATACAAAGTTGGAAAATCATAGGAAATATGGGAAAACATTGCGACATCCCCTATGAGACTAGAAGTGGAAACTTTCAATGGAGAAATAATCTACAGTTTTTTTTGGCAAGTGTTCATAGCTATGTAAATTGCCGAAGGATGTGGGTGGAAAGTTTGTCGCACCACTTTGTGGATCTAGGATTCAGAGAACACAGCTTAGGCAACAGGGCAGCACGGTGCATCAATAAGGCACGACAAAATGCCACCATGAATCATCCCTAAAAAACCGCCATAAATCGGAAGCATGCTCCCATTTCAACCACACCCACATATCATATTGTTGATGATATAAATAATATTGCACCTATATATAAATATAGTTATATATATATATATCCTACTGATGTCCCAGTATGTAGTATCGCATTAACATCCTCATCAACATCCGAATAAATATTCCGCTCAATACCACACATGTCACATAAATATCCCATTAGCATGTCCATTGTCGTTGGTTTTTTCCCATTGTAAAGGTTGGTAAATCCCATTGAATCCAAACAGGGATATTAATTTACATACCCCACAAATCTGTTGATTTTATTCCCCACAATTCACACCATTCATATCCTCATTCTTGTTGGTAATAAATCCCACCCCAGTATTGTATATAGTATTGTTGCCGCAACATGATGGATGGTACATCCCCACATTTTTCATGGTGTTCCCCACATTTTTCATGGTGTTTTACCACATGTTTCACTGGAAATCACATAAGAAATCACCCATGTTTCGGTGGTGAATATATCCCCCCTTCGACCCCCGGTTCCGCCCAGGAAGGGCGGAAACGGGCTGCCGATCACCGTCTCCTCCGTGGGTTTTCGCCCACATCTGCCTCCAGGTGATGCTGGTTATTCGCATAGGCACAGACCTTACTTAGCAGCGGGCAAAGCATGGGCCCAATGGGATCTGGGGAAACGAGATCCCAAAAATGGTGGTTTTTGATGGGGTAAAAACGGAATAAAAAAATTGGGAATAGTAGTACTACCCTGAAGGGTTTCATCAAACATGGGAAATGGTATAATGGTGGTTTTTGATGGGGTAAAAACGGAATAGATGGCTGGGAAGAGGAGTCTATTCCCAACGGTTTCATGAAACATGGCTGGGAAATCCCCGAACGAAATGGAGATTTATAGCTGAATGAAGGCGCTTCCTGGTTTGGTCCATGCCAAGCTGCCCAAAACGCTGTGTCGAGTTCCAACTGCCTCACGTGCGCGTGCCGGGAGAGGTTCGCCACCTGAGAACCATCTGCGCATGGGAAGAACCAATATCCAAAAGAAACAAGATGAGAAACATTAGCCCAGCTTTGCAACCCAACAGAGAAAGGTTCCAACAAGGTTCCAGGACTCCGGATTTTCGGGCCGTGCATTCTCGTGTCACTCCCTGGAGAGATTGAAAGCCAACAGATTCGCTGTTGGGATGCCAAAATCTCCCCAGCTTGCATCATCCAAGCTGCGAAGAGGGTGATTGGCTCCAACCAAGCGTGAGACACGAACCATCTTGGTTTCTGAAGTTCCGCATCCTTCAGCCCGAGACGGGACGTTGGCGATGGGTTGCCAACGGTGACTGATGGTTATAGGTTCTGATTCGGTCATGCTGCGGCATGTTGTGTGGACTTGACTCTACCCCGCTTGTCTGGAAACTCTTAGTCGGAGAAAAAAAAAACTGATCGCTGGAACTGCCACTGTGATCGCGACTGAAAGCAACATATTGCAACTTCCTTTTTCAAACCATCAAGTTTCACCATCTTCTGATTCCTCAAAGCGCAGGCCTCCGCAATCAACTCGACCAACGAACAGCCCACCAGGCCGTAACCTGCCGAAGCAAGCAGCACTTGTCACCCCCATCTCGGGGTGTCACCCTACTTCCCTGGCCCAGCCTTGAGTGGCTGGATTGATGATCCAATAGCTGGCGTGGTATAAATTGAACTTCCTCAGCGTTTTTTTTGCACCATCGGATTCACCGTATGGGGACAACCCCCCAACAAGATAGAACAGTAAATCACCGTGGCACCAAGGATCTCTTCAGGGATACGACAGCCATAACTGGGACTGTGGCGATGCGCTTCATGCCAAGCAAAAGCCTGGCAGGGAACCGGCAGAGTCGTCCGTGATGCTGCACAGTGGGGATGGACATACATTAAGGTCCGAATAATTTAAAAAAAAAACGATGTTTCCTTCCTCATCTTCCTCTTGCTAGCTGCTGTCTAGTTTGTGGTAGGCTTGTTTTGGGGTTCCGGCGGCATGAAGACTCATTGAATACCCATGTCGGAGTGTGCGAAGTAGAAGCTGATGGAGCGGGGCCAAAGTAGAGGCCCGTGATCGAACTGAAAAAAGATAAACTATGTTACTATAATAATTGAAGTTGACGTTCGAATGCTTGGATTTTTGAAGGTGCAAGGGGATCGTTTGGATCCAACACAAATTCAAAGTTGGCAACTCTAGCAAACGGCCACAGAGCACAACCCCGAAGCAACTGTGCGTTGTAGGGTTGTCTCTTTCCATGGTTTTCGTGTCCATTTGTTCTCATCTCCTCTTCAAATTTTGAATAAGAATTGAGCCATTAGTTCTACTTATGCGTGTCTTGTTTTCCCTTTATATGTCCAAATTGTGTATGCGTTTTCTCGTTTTCACTTTACAACCCAAGTTCAACTTTTGAGACATTTTGAATCTTTGTTCCAGGTATCGTCCTGTTTCAGTGGGTCTGAAATTTTGAAAATTGCAAGTTCTTCTGAAGTTTTTCTGATGAATTAGCCTTGGAAGCACAAGGCAAGAACATGACACACTGTTTGCTCGGGGATGAGGTGGTGGCCTAGTCACCCGGACACGCCGCAACGAAGCTCCAAAATCAAGGACTGACTTTGGACCTCAAGAACTTGTCCAAGATATCCACTAAGAACATAAGTTTACGTTTGGGTTATAGTGGATTTTCCCATGAAAAATTGTGATTTTCCATAGTTATGTTAGTTTGCCTTTGGGTTATCTTAGGCAAGATGAATATGACCATTGCAATATTACCAGAAATGATGTTGTCAAAAGCCCAACTATATAGTCGTCGTTGACTGGCTGGTTTACCACATGGTTTTTCGGCTTCCCCTCAGCGATGCGGCCTGATGTCCCATGAAGCCCAAGACTTCATGGAGCTGTTGGAGGGTCATCCCTCGATACGCAGTGTCTGGGATCCAGCAAGGCGAACGTTTGGAATTCATCAACTCGCTGTAGTCCACCAAGGCAAACCTGGCACCATGGGCACCATGGCAGGATGACCCTGGTGAAAGTAGGAGCTACAAAAAACCATGTCGATGAGAAGAGATAGAAAGGACAGGGCAGCTGTGATGGTAGCTGATTCAAAACCATGCCGCAAAGGGAGTTGCAAACTTGATTTCTGGAGGGGATTTGGATCCGATTCATAAAACTCCACCATCCATAGGACAAAATCCTTATGTTTTGTGCTTTATGATTCGCAAGAACCACACTCGAAACAAAGATGGGAAAGTGAATTAGTTGAATTCGTTGAAACAAAGAATCCGGATATGTGCAGCTTCTGCAAAATGAATCTTAAAAAAGAAAAAAACTGTCATTGTTGAGAAACTTGTGCTTGAAACATGGAGCAAATTTGAGCGAAATCCGCTTGTTCAACCGTTCGGATTGGAAATCTTCATTTCGTCCCCGGAGAAACCCGGAACCCAAGAATTTCTCAAATGCATTCGCAGAACATGTCAAAAAGTATGTTTATATGATTTAATATGTTCGAAAAAATATTAGGCCAAGTATCAGGCCAACATTGAGGCGTCAGCAAAAATGGGGAATAGATCTCAATTGAATATATCTGGATCCTTCACTTCAGGTTGGTGCAATTTAACACCCTCAAGTTTGGCTTGTGAATGGGTTATTGTTATTATGGAGATTTAAAACAACTGTGACTGGCAGTGGCCTTCATGGGATCGAATCTTGAAAACGTTCAGTTCCCTTGCCCAGTTTTTTGGGTCGAATTTGCTTCACTTGAAACCAACATGCATGGCTGGGGCCAAGTGGCTATGTGCGAACCATGCGAACCTCGTTTGATTTCCCAATTATGATGGATGAAGGGCCTTCAGTTCGACGTGGCCAGCCATCAGTTCTACCAAGGTTTTTTTCAGGGACCCAATGGGGAAGCCTGGCCCAGTGGTCCAGTGGTCCAGTGGTCCAGTGGTCCAGTGGTCCCCGCCACCGAGCCACGTGGGGTCAGCAAAGCTTCGGCCAGCTGCGGCCATTTCCCCGGTGTAGTTCTCCACTGCGTCCGCGATGGTCTGGTCGAGGCGAGTCGTCCAATCCCGGTGGTGCGTCAGGATGTTGGAAGATTTGCAGGAACCGTATGGAACCGTTATAGAACCGTTAAATGATAATAATAATAATAATAATAATAATATGTATATATATAATCCCTTTATGACTTAAAAAAATAAATGACTCCAACCAAGTCGGGGTCCCAGATGTCCCAGGCTATCAAAAAACGCGTGGTTCCACAACGGCCTCGTGGCCCTTGAACTGCAAGGGTCCCAGCGACAGCATGTGTCTTCCTCCTGGCTTGGCAGACAGATTGACGCGTCGCAGCCAATACAGGCAACATCCGGTCCTTTGTTGGCATCTTCTAGCACATCGTACAGCCTGGACTGTAGACTTGAGAGCGTCTCACCTGGCAATTGCAGACTGCTGGTTCAATAGCAAAGTAAATAATGTCTGGAAAGCCAATAGGGTGCCCCGTGATAGCCGCAGTGTAAGATAGACATAGATAGACCAGGTATGACCAGGTGTTGCAACCCACCACTGGGATTGGCAGCCTTCGCCCTGCCGCGGATCTGAACCCGGCCTTCAGAGGTCTCCAAACGAAAGATCTGACCGTGAGCAGCTTCAACGAACACAGGCAGATGAGCCATGGAGTCATCAGGCGGGCCGAGCGGGCCGAGCGGTGCGCACTCACCACGGTTCCTTTGTTCTCGAATTACAGTTCTGCGTGACGTAACATGTAAGTTAATCAGAGTTCATCTATCACATGGTGCAACTCATGGCACCGATGTCACCTAGATCGGCGGCCAAGAGGATCCAAGCTCCGGCCACATCCCATGTCCAGCCCCCTATCATGGGCTTTGAATTTCTTCTGGGGGCACATTGATCGATCGGCAGAAATATCCCCTGAGCATGGAAGGCGCAGGCGCGGCGGTGAGAGTTCCTGTCTTTGGTGCATCGTCAAGCTGTTTCTATCCACCTGACAACTGTGTATTGTGGGAATCGTTCATGGTAACCCACAGCTTTGGTCATCAGCCTTGGTCAACAAAGCCATTCGGATGATCCATGACAGAGATCCATTCGTGGTGACAATGGCCGCAAAAACCAACAAGTCTACCCTCTGGTTATGTCAAAATAGCTATTGAAAATTGCCATTTATAGTGGATGTTCCCATTAAAAATGGTGATTTTCCATAGTTATGGGACAGTTTACCAGAGGGTATTGTATGCAAACATCTGTGAAAATGGCCAGCTCCGTCACCTCACTCATCTTCAAGGGAAGTTCATGGGAAATTTCCATGGTATGTCCATGGTATGTCCCTTACTCAAGGGCCAGATTGCAAGGTGCCCAACATTGCCCAACCTCCACTCGTCAAGTTTCATTAAAGAAGATACCCAGCACTGGGAAGATGAATTTCTGCACCCAGCTCCGCCGCCTCTCAACCTCTGTTCGAACATGCAAAAGGGAGGAGTTCACGTGAGGTTTTAATGGGATTATACATAGTTTATAGTGGCCAAAATGATGAAATGAAATAGTCCCTTCCCAAAATTTTCAGCACCCAAACACAAGACCATGGCTTGGTATTCATAGGAAGTACAGTATGAAATAATATTGGGGGGATGGCACTGTTGGGAAGTAAACTGGCAGAAGATGTGCTTGGCTGCTAGACTCCCAAACAACAAGAGGATGCTATGAGAAGAACAACTTGGCGAGTTGCGGGTGAAAAAAACGGTGAAAAAAACAAAGACTAACCGCGCCAACCTGACATGAACTTATATGCTGTACCTCTCAAAGACTCCATCTAATGCAGGGTGTTGGTGCCATCAAGCGATTGTTCGCCTTCGGGATCCAAAATGATCCAAAGCATTTTGTGACATTCAACTTACCGCCTCTTTTGGATATAATCTGAACCCTGGATCAGTACACCCCCAGTTTATGAAAACACAGGGTGTACTAGTTTTCGCACTAATTCAATGATCTAAATAAAGCCCATTGTGTCTATGTATACAGTCAGGGTACTGTATGTCAGGGTTTACTAATCCAGGGTTGGTCCATCACCATGGCCCTTGGGCACCTCATCCTTATCCATGGCCTTTGGCACGGCAGCAGGAACAGCTGCAGCATCGTCTGAGTAGCTTCCAATCTCCTCGGTTACAGCCGACCAGCTCAAGTCGCACCGATTGCTCGGCATTCCCCAACAGAAATTGGAGGCAGTTTCCAAACTTCAAAAACAAGAAGGAAATCAGGAAGACTGCAAGTTTGCACTGGTCTTTGGGGCTACGTGTCATGCATCTGCGGTGACCCATGCCGTCAAGCAGCAGCAAGGCCAAGGTGAAAGCTACCGTTGCGGAAGTTCTCTAGCCTGAGATGCCATGGCTGGGGGGCGCAGACCTTCAAATAGGCAGCAACCATTCGAAGGCTAGTTCGGCCAAGGCTCATCTTAACTTGCTCGCTGATCCTGAAAGCCAAAATGTGTGAAGAAGGCGAAATCCATTGGATTTAGAGGTCTGGGCGGGGCCCCTCTGCGGCAGCAGTCCATCACTTGCATCTCTGTGGAAGATTTCTGATATTCAGAGTTTAACTTGGCGACTTTTGGCAACAAATCCCGTTGATTTCAGACTCTAGGTCAACTTCCCCCAGCTCAAGGCAACCTGGCAGCGCTCTTTGCAACTGAGAGGCACAAACTTCGAAACCTCAACGCTTTCAGGTGTGCCCGAAGCTGACGCCGTGAATCCCAAAACACCATTCTAGTCTAGGAGACTGATTGTATTTGTCGCAAATCTGCTGCAACCCTGGGAGCCGACACAAGCAACATAACATAAGGTCCTCAATCATCGTCATCACCATCGCCCTGCCCCATCGACCTTCCAAAGATAGCCAGGGAACTGTGAAGCCAATCTGGTAGACAGCACTGAGGTTGGACAAAGCTGGGGCCTCTGCTAAAGCCTGGGCCCCGCGGGACGCTGCCGGGGACGTCTGATCTCTCAGTGAGAGAAGTGTGGCCACCAAGATGTTCCAAGAAACCACAGGGCCGCGAACTAAGCGAAAGTCAGCAAAGGGCACCTACCAATGCATCAAAATACACGATGTTACCCAGGTCCGGGAGCATGATGGAGCATGTGGATGGACCCAAACATGCGAAACCTTATGTACTTACACGTTATGCCCAGAAAGTGTGCGTGGAAAATAACTAAGAAGAAGCTTCACAGGCCAACGATTGTTGCAGAGCGAACCTGGCGGCTCCGGCATTGACCCAACCTTTTTTGGCTACACGATTTGGCAGGGTTTACCGGCAATTCAACGCCTTGACCCTCGTCACAGCTCCCACTGCAGGCTGGAAAGGAGCCTACAACGGATAGCCATGAAAAGATGGATTTCATCGATAGGACTCAGCAGAAATAAGAATTTAGCATGAAATTTTTAGGGAATTCAGCAGTGAGAAAAAAAAAGTTCGTCAGACTGATCTTGACTGCCAAAAGATCATCTTTTCAATCTTGGGGCCCCTTGGGGCTGTGCGAAAACGTGGATCGCTGTCACAAAAAGCATCTTCCATCCCTTGCGGCATCACTACCCCAGCCACATATCCCCCAGGTTCCTGGTAGACAACTTCTCCGCGCCCTTCATCGGTTCGTAAACTCATCTTCCAAGATCTTCTTTGGACATCCTGACATGGTCGGATTCAAAACTGTTCAAACATGAACTACGCTCAGCATCTCTCTTGCTCTGCTGCGCTCTCTCTCTCTCTCTCATTCTGTGACTTAAACATAAGGTTTTGCGTACAAGGATAGGTTCTTCTTAAATGAATGATTGAATACGTACGTGTTTACTATTATTCGATTTGAGAAGGATTTCCAGGATATCAATACGGAATATGTTTTCCATTAAATCAAACATTGTATAGTATTTGGAGTGGCTAATTAATGCTTGTCAACACAGTTTGAAGCAAATCCTTGATTCTGCACCAAGAGGGCACGCCCACAGTTCCACGTCGCATATTTGCCCAAAGCAAATAAATACACAGTCCCATTGAACCATCATCCGATCTCATTTTTTCTCCAAAAACTATAGTACAATGTCAGAAACGTCCCAAAGTCTTTGGCTGTTCCACCCTGCCTCATCTGACAACAGCGCACAATCCAAGTAAAGGCCATCCGCTCCTATACTGGGCTGCATAGAATTCACAGTTGGATGAAAATTCTTACTAACAGTACTAACAAGTGGGCATATGTATCTATAATCGATCATCTATTTCATATCGCATCACCCGACTCTAAATCGCATCAATGGATAGTCTATTGGAAAAAAGAACTATCTTGTATTGCATCGTTTGATGCAGGAACAAATGGTGTGATACCATGACATTATACGAAAATAATAAATGGTGGTATAATGGTGGTATACGAAATCACATATCACATGACATTTATTATACCACCATTATGACATTATACAGCATAACATGACATGTGATTTGACATGATATGCTACGAAATGTCATTATACGACATGATCTTCCTACTGATGTAGCAACTTGGTCTAGTTCTTTGTTGCAAACATCCTGGAAGTTCGCCCGCAGATATGGGGGTAACCAAAATCAGCCAACAAACACACTATGATTCAACAACTGATGATTCACTGTCTGTTCATTTTGGGTAAAGGATGAAAAATGGCATTAAAAAATTCAAAGGATCAAACCTTGGTCTTGCCAAACCCATGTTGTTCCGGATGCTTGTGGATAATTTTTGTGGTTGTCCTCAGTGCATTTTTTAGTCCTGTGCCTTCCTTTGGAGTTGTCTATGCGCCTGTTGGATCTGCGAACCCTGCTGTTGGATCTCCCCATCCCTCCATGGCGTTCGGCTACATCTTGCTGGTGCTATACAGTATTTTTACATTCCTCTTGTTGTGTACCTTGGTTGACATTCGAATAGGCAGGAATTTGTAGAACATTTTGGTGTAGGGGTCGAACTTCGAAAACTGCTGTTGTTGGGGGGCTAGGGCAAGGGCGCAGCGCTGGCGTCGGGTTGGAGGCTTGTTTTGTATGCAGCTTGTTAGAGGAAGGGAGCGTTTTGTACTTGTGTAGCGTTTTGATGCTCAAGAAAACTCAAATCTGTCATGCAAGATTTTGAAGATAAACACGTTTATCTGGCATGATATTTGCACGTTTTGACATGGTATTGATAGTGCGTTTGTCGTTGCAACACTCTGGAGCTTGTATTGCATGGTATCTGCAGCATTTTGGAGCTGAAACCTCTCATGTTGCATTTTGCAACGCTCTGGAATTCGAACTTCTCACATTTTGAATCTTATTTTTAAATTTCAAACCTTTCCATATGCATGGTATTGTTTTCTTTCTTTCCTTCCTTCCCCTTTCTTCCTTTCTTCCAGTCATTTGGCAAGTCCTTGCAAATTTTTGGACCCAATTCTCGAGCCTTTCATTTAGGCATAAAGTGTCCTCCCTCCCTCCCTCCCTCCCTCCTTCCTTTCCTTCCCTCCTTACCTCCTTCCTTCCCTCATTCCTTCCCTTCTTTGTTCCTTCGTTTCTTCGTTCCTTCCTTTCCTCTTTTTGTTCCTTCCTTCACTTTTGTCTGTCCTTCTGATCCTGGTAATAAATGACAATAAATTCTTTTTGATCCTAAGAATCACTGCGTTTTTTTGGATCCGAATGCCCTTCATTTACTCACATCGCTGCGAAATGTAATTGCCGTGGATTATCGTGAAGGTCAAGGAGAAAACAAATCACAATGTTTACCAGTGATTTGCCACCGTACCAATTCAAAATTACAGTAGTTGAATGTTCCTTTGGCCACTGCTAGGTATGCCTCCAAAAACTTCCCCCGCGCCTGACAAATTCAACGGCTTCGAGAACCTGAGTTGTCTGGGTCTTGCATTCCAAAATTTCAAGAACTGTATATTATATATGTATACATATTAAATTATATATAGTAATTTGGAAATATATTCTTCAAACCATAGGATGACAATACTAACAACGAGGCACGGCCGCGTGCGTTGCCCACAGAATCCGCCACCCTCGCTGCGCAACACGCCACGCCAACTGGCTCCCAGGTTGCAAGGACTCAAGGAAGAACGACTCAAACCTGGCACCGGGACAGGACCAGCCGAGCAGCCGGGCGACGTGACAGCCGTGACCCAAAAGATCCCAAAAGTCCGTAACGGGATACCATGATACCTGCCTCCCATGATCACATCATCGATTCGCTCAAACTGCGACTCAATAGCCTCTGGATCATTTGTAAACCTCAGTCCAGGATTGTGGACGAACAACCATCTCTCTTTTCATTGTGTGTTTCTGTTGTTTTCATTTTTGGGCGTCTCCATATGTCTCCACTGCGCTAGAACAAAATTTGCTGATCATGCGATTAACAGGTCGCGTGAACACAGTGTCAACGAGATTTTGTTCAACTGCATCTTTTGTTTTTGGAAAGCTGACTGCGAATTTGAAGGAAAAAACGCATTCCCACCAAGACTGACCACCCATTTTACATGGAAAAGGGGACAAATTCCAAATTTTTTTGATAGCTTAAACGTGAATACGTTTTTGCGTTTCATTTTTGCAATATAGTTTCTTATAACCACAGAAGGGCTAGGAAAAAGTATGGTTTAAAAATCTACGCAAGACAACCGCGCAGATAATGCGCCGCCTCAATGTGACTGTTTAAGATGCGGACCTACCCACAAAAACCTAATCGTCGTCTTCACGTTCGTTACATACCTGTTTGCAACCACCCCATTCCAAACAACAATGTGACAAAATCATGTTTCAACTGAACGGCAATGCCCATGCTTACCCAGCCTAAACAGAGGCGTGCCGACAATGATTGCATCGTTGGAAACCTGGGTGGCACGGTGTGTCGCTCACGGCTACCTTTGATTCGGCCCTTCAACGGTCACCAAAACAATGCTGTTGTGCCTCCAAGTATCTGCCTTACTTGTCAAAGTTGCCGGCACTGGCAGTCGGCTGAACGCAACACCAGCAAAGGTTGCTATGGCAAATTGAAACATCACCAAAGATCCATGGCAGCGTTCCAAACAAGAATCTAGTCACTTGCATGTGTTTTCGACATGTGTTGTTGGCTGGTTTTTCCTTTGAAGAGTTTCCCAACAACTTTTGTCATAAACAGCTGGCCCTAGCCAGTACCATGCTTTGGACGTGCCATGTCTGAAATGTGTCTGAAAATTACGCCTTGTCCACTGATCGCAATGGCCATTTCAAGGTGAATTCGTCAAGTGCATCTGTGCAGCGCGCATGCAACCCAAGACATCTACGGATGTCATTGCCTCAAATTTCCCTGCGCTAGAAACAGGTGGTCCCCGTAAGAAGTTGCCCATGTAAAGGTACACGCAAGGATTTAACAGGTTGAGGTCATAACCAAAGAAATCGCGCCACCATCTCAAAACATCCATGCACCCCGCCCCCCCCACCCTAAGCTAGTGAGATCAAGTGCGTGCTCCAAACAAATGATGGTACCATTTAGGATTCTAAATGTCAAAAAATTGAAAAATGTTTTTTTCGATTTTTCGGATTTTTACACTTTATGATCATTATGGATGTGTCAGATTTTTTTTGCCTGTGTTTTCAGGTTTTTTCACCCGTCTGCTTTCCAATTCGAAAAAAGTAATGAATTGAAATAGTTTGTTTTTCCGATTTTTTTGGATTTTCGTTTTTTTATTTTTTCTCTGTTTCCTCGGATTTTTTTGAATTTGTCTAATTTTTCGTACGGTTCGAATTTTTCCGATTTTTCTGATTGTTTGATTTTTTGGGTGGTTTTCGGACTTGTTGTATTTTTTTCGGATTTTTCGGACTTTTGAAGCTCAACTGCGAATCGGACTTTTTGAACTGTTCGGATTTTTGGCAATTTTTGCAACAAGTTTCTAGCCTTTTTGATCTTCGGCGGATTTCGGCAATGTGAGTGAAAGATGGAAGGACGGACGGACGGACGGACGGACGGATGGATGGATGGATGGATGGATGCGTGGATGGATAGAGAGAAAAAAAGATAGATTAGAGCACATTGGATTAGATTAAATGAAAATGGATTAAAAAAGATAGATTGTCAAGAATCGGATGAGATAGGGTGGGAAAGGACAGGATAGGAAAGGAAAGGATCGATTGGATAAGATCAGAGAACGTATACAAAATATGTAAAAAATAAATAGACTAGTTAGGCCAAAGAGTATTGAAAGACAAGGAAAGGCAGATAGCCATCCCGGAAAGGATAGACAAAATAGATAGAATATGCAAGTCCGTCAATTAGAGTAGAACATGTGGAATTACAAGAAAGATGAAATATGAAGAAATTTGATGACTTTATAGATTAGTGAAAGAATAAAACTAACAAACATATTGCCCATGACGTTTAACAGGTGAACTAGACAAGAAAAATGAAATGGATAGGACATAAAATATAAAATACAGGATATAAGTAGGATACAGCAGATAAACAAGATGGACAAAATAGATGTTCCAGACAGTTGGATTGATACAAATGGTTTTCGGGGAAGACAGAAAGATTAAGTAGCAATATGTGCTGAATAGGTTTCACAAATACCACATCACATATCGAAAAAAGAACAACACATGAAACAGGGTAGATTAATCCAGCCATGCGCACACAACAGAAGGAAGGTATTGATAGTTTTTTTGCAAAAGCAAAAGTGTATACGTGCATACATAGGGATGACTAGTACATTCATGCATCATTGGCACACCTTTACATATAATACATTTCCGTAAATACATGTGAACAAAGACAGAAATTAATAAATATAAAAGTCTGTATATCTAAAGATGGATGGAGGGGAAAGGACAAGACACGATAGCATTGGGTAAGCAAACACGTGGCAAGAACAGGAAACTAATGATAGATGGATGGGCGGATCGATAGATGGATGGATAGATAGATAGATAGAGAGATAGAGAGATAGGGAGAGAGCAAAGGGGAGAGAGAGCCCTCCCCGCGTGCCCGTTCCCATTCGCCTAAACAGGTTACTTTCCAGGAAGGTAATGGCCTGTTGGCAGAATTAAAGGCTATTGTTGTGCGTGCGGAAGTGGATGGGGAAGGTAACCTGTTGCAACAGCTCCGCCACCTTGTCCAATGTTCGTGACTACGAGTCCCCAAGGACCCCGCTTGACATCCCACACCGTGTGACCCAGCAAAGGAAAACCGAAACCAAGCATGCCCCGAAACCCAGGGCTCCTGAACAGCGTATCAGCCTTGAACCCAAATGGTGGCCCGAAGCTCCCACCGCGGTGGCCAAAATGTATGATAGACTCAGCTGAAGTCCCCCCGGGTAATCTATCGATCGTTTCCTCCCGGGACGTACTTCAACTTCGTGGCTTGGCACAAATGCACAAAATCAACAAACAATATGCGCTCATTACTTTCGAAACACTTCAGCAAACGGATGTGGAAAAACATCAAGGTCAGCTTAAATGGTGTAAGGTGGTCAAAGGTCAGTGGAAAAAACTGTGGGTTTTTCCCCTAAACGTTGACTTGCCGATGTGGCCCACCGAGCCGACCGTTGTTGATGCTTCGGGTAAATCCCCCTCTGACACAAACCTTGCTACATACCGGACTATGTTTCCCAAAAGACTTTTGACTTCTTCCCAACGGGAGACTGCCAAGAAGAAGCCTACGGCACTGCTGGCTACTGCACTTCCGGATGATATGAGTTTCGGAACATATGGATGGCACCACAATGTGCATGAGAAGGAGGAAGCTGTTGTTGGTTTCTTTAAAATTGCTTCCACGGAAACTCATAAGCCACTTGAGAGGTCGGGCTGGACCTGCGTTTTTTTTCAAAAAGTTTATTTTGGCCATGAAATGCGAAAAAACGAGCCCATCCGTTGGATTCCTTTCTCTCATTCCTCGGCTCATGAATACCTCCGCGACGCAAGACAGCAAGCCAAGGCGCAGAATGCTGGGCTTGTTATTCGACGTGGCGGCAAATCTTGTTTGGGACTCTTAGGAGTTCAACCTTCCGAACCAATTGAGCAACTCAGAAGAAGATGGGTGGCTAAAGGTTGGCTCCCCAGTCAACTTGAGGAAATCTTGCAAACGCAAGGATGGAGAGTTTTAGGAAAATTTCAACCACCGAAATCCCGTAATGGTATTTGGACCTTTAAGAGGGCCCTTCCCAAAGAATCCCAAGTGTGTCTGGTTCTCAACATTGGAAGGGATGTCGATTTGGTCATTTCTCCCTGGGTCCCGACTAAACAGGTTCGACCCCAAACGGTTCCTTTGTCTGTTCAAAACAAGGGATGGATTACCAATTCTAAGTCGCAAGAGAGCTCTAGCGTTCAGCCTCAGCAGGTGGCGCTAACTCAGATAGAAGCATCCCAAAATGCGGAGGAAGAAAACGATGACATGGGGGAAAATGATACCACCAACTCTGTCAAGCGGGCTCATCAAGTATCCCCTAGCAAAAATGCCGATACCTCCGGAGGGCAAGCCAAAAAGAAGCTTGCAGTCCCAGCCAAGCAGTCTCCCAGCGAGGATACCACTGGTCCAGAGCAGGTCAAAGAATGGGACCTTGGTGGTAATGGTGACTGTGGCTTCCGAGTTCTCGCAGGACTCCAGGCCCGTAGACAAGGAGAAACTATTGCGGCTATTCAGGAGAAAGTTGAGAAACTTGCCTTGAGCTTGCGCTCTAAAGTTGCTGTTGAGCTTCAAGGATCGGACTCCTGGCGTCCTGCTTTTGTCAAAGACCCCGAATCCAACTTTCAAACAGAGGATGGTGAACCTGCTGTTGAACCGGCCGCGTTCGTCGAATCGGTCAAAAGACCGCGCAAATGGTTTGACAACTATTGTTGTCAGGCCGCGTCAAATGTGGTGCAAACTGATATTGTTGTTTTCAAGTTCTTGAGGGGTGAATGGCATTTTATGCAACGTTTTTCCCCCGTCAAAAAGCAAATTACGCATACTCCCATGCCTATGTTTCTCAAACAAGTTGGTGGCAGTTGGCATTTTACGACCTTGCATCCAGATGCTAACTTGCCTGAACACTGGAAAGATCTCGATAACGATGCTGCTATGATTCCTATGTCCTTTTTGGGTGGAGTCAACGAGAGCAAAGTCCCTGATGATACTGAATCTGTTCAGTCCAGTAGCTGCTCTTCTTGGCTGAAACCTTGCCCTTCTGTGGCCGCGCAGGGTAGTGAGGTGAAAGGTGCGGCTGAGAACGGCTCTGATGACATCGATAAAAGTAGTGCGTGCTCCTCCTGCTCAAACCCTGCAAAAGTCCTGGCAAAGACCACAAGTCCTCAAACAAGCTTGCTACTGCTAGCTTATATGAGACCGATATCTCCGATTGGCTCCACCCAAAAAGCTCTATGCGAAGAGACACTGACATTCGTTCTGAGATCGTTCCCATGCTATGGACTCTATTGATGAAGATTTACATGACATGGACCAGTTTCTGAAACCGCGTCGCATTAGGGGCAAGCAAAAGGTGATTGATCTCCGTTTTGAGAATCCAAAAAACGATTCATTCAGTTGGATCTGCCCCCATTGCGAAATTTTATATGAGGCTTCTACTTCTGCTGAAATCGATAACAAACGATATAATCACATGAGAATGAGGCACCCTGCGGCCGATACCAAAGTGCTCAACCCCAGAAAGGATCCGGTTATTTTATCCACCAAAATCCCTGAAAGTCAGATGGCTTGGAAATGCCCGATTTGTAAAGCGGGCCATGGTGCCCTTTCGGATCAAGATCACAAAAGAGCCGTTAAACACCATTGCGAAACAGAACACCCTGACGAGACTCCGTCGACCCTTTCCCACAAATTGGCTAAGGGAATCCCAAAAAATGACAAAACTGCCATAGTTAAGGCTGTGACTGAACGAATTGAAAAGAAACGAAAGGCCCTTTGGGCGGACCATGACATTGTGCTTTTGCCTCGGCCTAAAAATGACACGGATAGAGGACGTATATCATACTGTAAAGTCTGTTTGTCCCGGCTTGGTCGGGTGCCGGTGCAAAATAAGGTGTCTTGTAAGGATCAGCTAGAGAAACTCAAGACCAA